CCAAATGGAAACAATCCAGTTCTGTCCCTGGTGAATAAACAAGTTGTGGTCTCTCCATAGAACAGTGCTGTTCGGCCACAGCAAGGCAGGAAGCGCTGATCCACGACACAACTGGACGGACCCCGAAAACTACGCTCAGCGAAAGGGGTGACACAAACGAGCGCGTCTCATGTGGGAATGGCTGGGAGCCGGACTGTGGGGAGGCCGCACAGCTTTGCACACTTCCTAAAAGCCACTGTCACCAGGGGTGACCCACACGCTGCACGAGTTCTATGTCAGTGGAGCCATCGTAGAAAAAGAGCTATAGAGAATATCAGCCTCAACAAACAGCAAATGAAACTGAGGAGGAAAAACATGACACGTGTAACGTATCAAAAATACCCACCACGTCGGAAAAAATCTAAGAAACGAGTGCGGGATCACAACATGGAAATCTTCAAACCCACTCCTGAGAGAAGCTGAGGATGACGTGGAAGAAAGGAGGAAACAGCACATCCGCGGGTGGGAAGACTCAGGATCGCGAAGGCATCAACTCTCCACAAACTGCAGCACAAAGCAGAATCCAGCAGGTTTCTGGTTTTGTTTTAGAAACTCGACAGGCTGTTTCCAAAGTTTACATGAAGAGGCAAAGGACCAGGAATACCCACGATGCTCCTGAAGGAGGTGGGGGGCCTGCCCCACCGCGTGTCGAAGGGCCTCCATGGTGGGGACGGCGGCAGCGGCCGGGCAGATGGCGGGAGGGAGGAGAGCCCAGAGAGGCCCTGGCTTACCCGCCCCGACCTGGGGCTGCGGGGACAGCCATCTCACGCACCCTGCTGCGGCCACCGTGGTCCGTACGGAGAAGGAATTAGACTTGAGCTCATGTCTGTGAGCCCTGATCTCACGGAAAGCAGATTAGAAGCCGGACAGCAGATACCACACGACAGCACCACGCGCGGTCCTAAGATACTTTAGGAGAATACACTCAAGTCCTTGTGCCAGGAGGACTTGAAACCGTAAGTCGGACTACATAAAGGATTTTTGGCATTTTTTCCATCTTTATTGTCATATTTGAGGAATCAAGTTCAATACATTACATTTAAGGGACCTCTTCTGAGCCTGAATTAAAATTAAGAACTCTTTCCAGAATCACAGTGAGGATGAAAAGGCCACCCCAGTGCAAGGGAAAATACCGGTGACGTGTACCTCACAAGGGGCTGGAAGCTAGAACGTTTTTTTGTTTTTAAATATCTTGTAAACCAGACTAACACACAACGCAATGGCAAATCAGCACGAGAGCCGGGCATGGCGGCGCCTGCAGTCCCAGCTACTCGGGAGGCTGAGGCGGGAGGATCTCTTGAGCCCAGGAGTTGGAGGCTGCAGGGAGCTATGATGACGCCACTGCACCCCAACCTGGGCAACAGAGTGAGACCACGTCTGAAAGAAAATCTAGGCCGGGCGCGGTCACACCTGCAATCCCAGCACTCTGGGAGGCTGAGGCGGAAGGATCGCTTGAGCTCAGGAGTTTGAGACCAGCCTGAGCAACATGGTGAGACCCCATCTATACAAAATATTAAACGAAAAAGAAAATTGGCAGGAAACAAACTTAAACACACACTCGTTGAAACAGGAAATCCAATGGCCAAGGAGCCTCTGAAAACTGCTCAGTCTCCACTGGCAGCTGAGAAAACACAAACAACAAAAGCCGCCATCCTTTCGCCACCCGAGCAGAGCGTGAACAGAGACGGTGAGGGCAGCCTGAGGTCCGCCTGACTCCCTGGGAAGGGTGGCCTCACCCGCTGTGCAGACACACGCCCCGGGTCCCAGCGACTCCATTCGGTTCTGCTCCTGCTCCGACAGAAACGCACGTGCCCCGGGGAACGCGGTGGCGTCGCTGGAGCCGAGCCTTGGAGCTGCGCGTCCAGCAGCAGCAGCAGCCTGGACGCACAAGAGCGGCGGCCGCAGCCCCCCGACGCCATTTCTGGGAGGATGGAAAAGAGGCAGAACTGGACTCCTCGGGGAGACACTCAGGCGGTAAAAGCAGGGGCAGACAGCGGGGAGCGGCAACAGCGTTCTCGGTGGAACCCGGGGCCAGACGTCTGCGTGCGCGTTCCTCGGCGTCCTCCCAGGATTCGAGAGGCTTAAAAACACACAACTCGGCTGCCAGAAGGCTGTTAAGGCTTCCCTGCCACAGACTCCACCGTGGTTTAGTCGGGTCCCTCCTCCCAAAGCGACACCATGGTAATGTTAACTCCCCGCCCCCCACACGCGGGGACTCCTGGCTCCGGCCTCAGCCCCACGCAGCCGCGACGCAGGCACAGAGGCCCCACTCGGGGACCTTTCCTGGGAAGAGGCCGCCCGGCTGGCCCGGGGGCCCCTGCTGAGTCTGCACTTTCCCCTGTGTAAACTCACCTGTGGATCTTTCTGGGTGTGGACTTTCTCCCTGTGGATCTATAATTTCTCAGAAGAGAAGCCGAGAAACGACCTGGGGAACGATCGATTCTCAATAAAGGAAAGAAGCGTGTCCCCAGCACCGGCGCGGGGGACCTGCCCACAGGACGGGGCACCCTGGAGACCGGGGGTGTGGGTCGCTGCCCCACCTACCTAGTCTGCGCCCACATGTGCCTCTTCCAGCTCCTGTGCATGTGCGGTCCCTCTCCACGGGCAGAGCAAAGCGCCCGCGAGGGGTCCTCGGGGATGGGCAGGGGACAGGCAGGCAGGACGACGGCCAGGCCCCAGGCGCTCAGGCCCGAAAGGAGGCAGTCACCAGCTGGAGATGCGGTTCCAGCAGGACGAGGAGGGCCAGAGGGCGGGTGGGGAGGGGCCGGGCCTCTCCCGGCAGGAGCAGCCTTCTTCCCCTGCCCGGCCCAAGGGCAACCACACGCCAGGCCGCTCCCGCTTCCCTGCTTCCCTACTGGCCTCTTCCCAGGAAGACGGGCTGCGGAAAGCAAACACAGGGCGCTGGTGGTGTTCCTGCCAGGTGTTCCTAGAAGAGGCTTGGGGGTGGGGCAGTGGCCAGACACCAGCTGACCCTGAGGTCACAGGAGGCCGAGGCAGGCCTGGGCCTTGGACGGCCCCTGAGCGCGGGAGCCCGAACAGTGGACCCCTCCGGGGAGAGCGGATGGGCAGCACAGGGAAAGGCGGTGGCGCCCACCGAGCCCAACGGTCACGTCTCAGGCCAGGGGTGGATCCCCAAGACCTCAGAGCCACCTGACGGCTGCCTGCCCACGGGTGGGAGTGGGCGAAGCCCTGGGCTCCCCAGACCTGCCTTGAGTGCCAGCCCACTCCCAGGGGGTCCCCTACCCCCACCTGGCTGCCCGGGCCCACCCTAGCCAGCTCTGCAGGAAAACGGGGACCAGCCGCCTCGGGCCAGAGGTGGCTTCAGCGGACTCTCGCCCGCACTGTCTGCACTGCGCTGGCCGCCCGGCACGAGGGGGTTAACGGGGCTGGGGCCAGCTGGGCCGGGCCTGCGGCTGACAGGCACTGGCTGCCCCGTGGCCGGCACAGCAGACGCCCTCACTCGCTGCAGCCTGCAGCCTGGTCTGCACGCGCAATGGCCCTGAGGAAAGGTGAGGCGCCCCAGAGCGTCCTGCCATTTACTTGGGGGCGGCCACTGTGACCCCAAGCCTGCTGGGGCCAGGGCCAGGGCCAGCCCTCAGGGAAGCTCTGGAGGGCTCAACTCTGGGGGACTCTGGGGACCTCTGGGGTGGGAGGGGGACACGGCTGGGCCTCGCAGTAGAGAGTCTCCATTCCCTTCTCCCACCTCCTCTCCTGTCCCCGAGCACAGCGGGCAGCGCAGGCAGGGCTGGCGAGCTCTCAGCCCCTGCAGAGACCGGGTGCCCCTCACAGCCTGAGCTGTGGGCCTCGCCCCAGGTGGGCCCACTGCCCTCCAGCCACTAGGTCCTCTCCCAGGGCCTAGCCCAGGTGGACGGGGGTGGCGCCTCACACCCCTCATCTGTGGGGTGCCCTGGCCTCAAGCCTGGGCCGGACTCCAGGGCTGCCCCACCCCATCACAGGCCCCCATGCCGCCCTGCCCAACCCCGGCATCCTGAGCTCTCTCGGGCAGGCACGGGGCTGTGTGGCGGGTGGCACGGTGTCCGGCAGGCAAGGTTCTGGGACATTGCTACTGGCAAGACTGCTGCCGGGTCAGTGGGGCCTGGTGCTCCTCGTCCTGAGATGCAACCTGACCCAGGTAAGTAAGTGGGCGGCCTGGGGTCTGCCCCAGGGCCTGGGTCAGGCCACACACACGGGAGAGCAGGCAGGCGAGTGCCCCCCAGCATGTGGGGCTGGCCAGGCAGGGGGTACCTGGCTCACCAGGGTCAACAAGTGAATACCCCACCCAGACCTGCTCTAGAATATTCCAAAAATGGCCAGAGCTCGGCTCGCGGCTCAGTTCCTTCCCCTTTCTCCGGACCACGGTAGCAGCCTGGCCCGGCCCGACTGTCTGCCCTGGGGATGCAGATGGCCACGTGGCCCAGCAGCCAGGACCCAGCCTGCCCAAGCCCGCGTGGCCTGGGTGAAGCCGAGCCAGGTCTTCTCTGCAACAGGACGGGGATGCCGCCCCGCCGGCCCCGCGGTGGAAAGTGCAGAGTCAGCACGGGAGCAGAGGACGCGACTAAGTGGGTGACCACGTACCTCAGTTCATGACTGGGCGCCGCCTCTTCCGTGGCTGAGGCCTGGAGAGGTTCGGCGTCGCGCTCTCCCCAGTCAGACCGGGGCACCCCGCCAGAACCCTCCTAGGTGCCGCCTCCTCAACCCTCTCTCCCCACAGGAGGCCTGGCCCTGGCGGTGCTGCTGGCGTGCTGGGTGGCGCCGGGCCACCAGTGCCCAGCCGCCTGCACCTGCAGCTACGACGACTACTCGGACGAGCTCAACGTCTTCTGCAGCTCGAGGAACCTCACGCAGCTGCCCGACGGCATTCCCGCCAGTGCCAGGGCGCTGTGGCTCGACGGCAACAACCTCTCCTCCATCCCCCCGGCGGCCTTCCAGAACCTCTCCAGCCTGGACTTCCTCAACCTGCAGGGCAGCCAGCTGGGCAGCCTGGAGCCGCAGGCGCTGCTGGGGCTGCGGAGCCTGTACCACCTGCACCTGGAGCGGAACCGGCTGCGGAGCCTCGCGGCCCACACGTTCACGCACACGCCCGGCCTGGCCTCGCTCAGCCTCAGCAACAACCTCCTGGGCAGGGTGGAGGAGGGCCTCTTTGCAGGGCTCGCCAACCTCTGGGACCTCAACCTCGGCTGGAACAGCCTGGCGGTGCTGCCCGACACGGCGTTCCAGGGCCTGGGCAACCTCCGCGAGCTGGTGCTGGCCGGCAACAGGCTGGCCTACCTGCAGCCGGCGCTCTTCTGCGGCCTGGGCGAGCTGCGCGAGCTGGACCTGAGCGGGAACGCGCTGAGGAGCGTCAAGGCCAACGTCTTCGCGCGGCTGCCCCGGCTGCAGAAGCTCTACCTGGCCCGCAACCTCATTTCCGCCGTGGCCCCGGGTGCCTTCCTGGGCATGAAGGCGCTGCGCTGGCTGGACCTGTCCCACAACCGCGTGGCCGGCCTCCTGGAGGACACGTTCCCAGGCCTGCTGGGCCTGCACGTCCTGCGCCTCTCCAACAACGCCCTCGCCGGCCTGCGGCCCCGCTCCTTCAAGGACCTGCACTTCCTGGAGGAGCTGCAGCTCGGCCACAACCGCATCCGGCAGCTGCCCGAGCGGGCGTTCGAGGGCCTGGGGCAGCTGGAGGTCCTCACGCTCAACGACAACCACATCCAGGACATCAAGCCGGGCGCCTTCCTTGGCCTCCTCAACGTGGCAGTCATGAACCTCTCCGGCAACTGTCTCCGGAACCTTCCAGAGCAGGTGTTCCAGGGCCTGGGCAAGCTGCACAGCCTGCACCTGGAGGGCAGCTGCCTGGGCCGCGTCCGCCGGCACACCTTCGCTGGCCTCTCGGGGCTGCGCAGGCTGTTCCTCAGGGACAACGGCATCTCCGACATCGAGGAGCAGAGCCTGTGGGGCCTGGCCGAGCTCCTGGAGCTGGACCTCACCTCCAACCAGCTCGCGCAGCTGCCCCGCCGGCTCTTCCAGGGCCTCGGCAAGCTGGAGTTCCTGCTCCTCTCCCGCAACCGGCTGTCGGAGCTGTCCGCGGAGGCCCTGGGCCCCCTGCAGCGGGCCTTCTGGCTGGACGTCTCGCACAACCGCCTGGACACGGTGGCTGAGGGCCTCTTCTCGCCACTGGGGCGGCTGCGCTTCCTCAGCCTCAGGAACAACTCGCTGCGGTCCTTCGTGCCGCAGCCTCCGGGGCTGGAGCGCCTGTGGCTGGAGGGCAACCCCTGGGACTGCCGCTGCCCCCTCAGGGCGCTGTGGGACTTCGCCCTGCAGAACCCCAGCGCCGTGCCCCGCTTCGTCCAGGTGGCCCCCGAGGGGGATGACTGCCAGCCCCCCGTGTACACCTACAACAACATCACCTGTGCCAGTCCCCCTGGCGTCGCGGGCCTCGACCTGCGGGACGTCGGTGAGGCCCACTTTGCTCACTGCTGACCCCGGGCTCCAGGCTGTGGTCCCCTGCCTGGTTTGCCCTGGCCAGACACTGCCCTGTGGTCACGACAGGTCCTTGCTGTCCTCAGAATGAGGAGCTGTGAAGGACGGTCCCGGGGGTCTGCCAGCCTGACGGGGTGGGGGTGGCGGTGGGGGTGGGTGGGCACGGCAGCCTCCCTGCTGTCACCAATTAAAGGACGACAACATGCCGAACACAGTGTATGGCTTAAAGCATTCGTCCTGGGCCCCTGGCCCTGCCTGGCCGGGCCCGGCCTCAATCCTGCACCCAGCGAGTCCTCCTAGTCCTCTAGGTGGCCCCCCAGATTCCTCCCAGGACGCCCACCCCCACCTGAGGAACAACGGCACTTTCTCAGGTCCTCCCAGAACCTCAGCATCTCGTCTCTCCTCTTTGGGGTGTTGTCCTCAGGACTGGGCAGTGCCCCCGTCCTGGCAGCCGCAGCACAGGGCAGGTGGTGGCCAGGGCCCTGCAGCCACTGCCGAGTTGGCAGGCGGCAGAGGTGGCTGGCCCACACTGCAGTTCCCACACGTTTCCTCAGGGAAATGCCATCTGCAGACCAGGCGCAGCCCCACCGCCGTCCCACCTGGCCCTAGGAATCGCCGCTGAGCTGCTCTCCCTGGCCCCGCACGGCCGTTCTGCTTCTCTCAAGTTTCCCTTCCTGGTCTCACCAGGAAAAGGCAGGAAAGAGCTTCCGGGACCCTCAGCTCACTCTCAAACCCACCTCTTCTGGTCTTGGTCCCTTTGCACCCTGGTGTCCGTGTCCCCCGCAGAGTGGACAGCTCCACCTTGGCTGAGCCCCCCACGCGGCTTTCTCTGATATAAAATCTCCCCCAAACTCCCACCACATGGGAAGCAAATGCGTCCTCACCTGGGTCTCCAGGGCTTGTCAACAGCAGGACCTACGGAAGCAAATGCCGTCTGACCGCCAAGAACAAAAAGTCCAGAGAAGTCTGACCTGCACCCGTGGCAGCACACGGGACCCGTTTAATGGTGGGTTCCTCCAAGTCATGTGACACGTCTGAGGTTATTTTACCCACAGAGCTCCCGCTCCTCCCGTGAGTGCAGATCGCTCACGGACCCTCAGGGTGTGGGCAGCCCAGGGTCAGCTGAGGGCCGTGGAAGTCCCGAGAGCTTGGTGAACCGTGGGGGACACTCAGCTGCCAGGAGCAGCCTGTCCCTCTGGCGCAGGGATGCAGCGTGGGAAAGTGACGAGCGCTGGGAAGCAGCCGTGGCGTGGGGTCCCAGAACACGGGCTCACAGCCACAAGGCACCGGGGCCCGAGCTGTCCTTGCAACCACCACCAACCGCCGGGAGGAAGCGCTGTCAGGCTCAGCCAGAGATGAGCTGACGTGGAGGAAACACGGTCCCCGGGCCCTCTGCCCCAGGGATTCCTCTCGGGGCCTATGACGAGGCAGCTCCTCTGTCAGGAGGCCTGAGCAGGCGTCGCGTCCAGAATCTTCTGGGCTATGGCGGCGAGTGCAGGAAACGCAGGGCTGTTGGGGAACTCCTGGATGAAGTCGCGGCCCTCCTCGAGGCTCCTTGTGAGCGCAGGGTCCAGGGGCACAGAGCCTATGGAGACAGAGCAGAGGCCGAGCCCTGCTGCCTTCCCTGCTGCGCTTGAGAGGAGCGCAGGCGGGCGCCAGGACTGGGCACACTCGACAGCACGGCTCCCGGCACCACAGGTGGGGGACAGTGGCCACCGTCCTCTGCTCCCCTGGGGCGTCAGCAGGCGCGTCCACCATGCGGCACCTGCCCAGAGCCCGAGGTGCCTGCTTGGCAGGAATTGCCCGGAGACGAGCCGCAGCGCACGGCCGGCGCCTGCCAGTGCGCGAGAAAGACGGGAGGAAACGGCTCCCGCTGCTCCCCCGGGCACTCGGTGGGCACAGGCCAGTCAGACCCACCCAGAGCAGCACTCAGGGCCCCAGACACCAGGCTCTGGTCACTTACCTAAGAAGGGGACCCCGGCGAGCCTGGCCAGCTCCTCCCCGCCGCCCCTGGAGAAGACGCTGGTGCACTCCTAGGAGACAGGGCTGTGAGGACCAGGCTCGAGGACGCCTCCGGTGCTCATGCAGGTCCAGGAAACTGGCCCTCGGCCTTCGCTGGTTACTAACCTGCCCTGGGTGCTGACGCTGGCTTCCTCGTGGCCTTGTGCCCCCACCGACCCACCTACCCCACCCAGCGAGTCCCCACGACTCACTGCACAGTGTGGGCAGGTGAAGCCGCTCATGTTCTCCACGACCCCCATCACCCGCAAGCCAGTCTTCCTGCAGAAGGTCAGCTCCCGCCTCACGTCCCCCACGGACACCGCCTGGTGGTTGAGACAAGACCCGGACAGTTGGCTGCAACTCAGCCAGGACACGCAGATGCCAGCCCAGCCCAGCCGTGGGAGAGGCCACACGCCGAGGAAGGGATGGTGCTGACAACAGTACCTGAGGTGTGGTGACCACAAGGGCCCCCAGGGGCCTGTAGGGACGCAGGGCTTCCACGGCGGCCATGTGTTCATCAGAGGTCCCTGGGGGTGTGTCCACGACCAAGTAGTCCAGCTGTCCCCAGGCCACATCGGACACAAATTGCTTGATCAGTGCTGCGGGGGGGGGTCAGCCCGGAAGCCACACGTCAAGCAGGTGGGGTCCCATCCCAGCGAGCCGCCCTCCCACCAGCCCCCTTGAAGACTCTCGGAAGGCTCTGGGACCACCTGCAGGAGGGGCAGGTGCTGGTTCAGCTGGTGGCTCTGGCCAGGAGCGGGGTGGCAGGAGGCCGTAGGCAGGCAAGCCTGTCCCCAATCCGCCTCGCACCCCACCCACGGGGCCGGTGGCTGGTCCTGCCAGGGCTGCAGCTCAGGAAGGGGAGCCCTGACCGGCCTGGGGTGTCAGTGCCCACAGGAACACCCTGTCCTCATGCCGAGAGGTGGCAGCCCACGGTGGATGCCTGGCTGGTATGTCGCAGAAGCCGCTGTCTGCCCTGAGCTTGCTTCTCCCCGTGACAGCCCTCCCTGCAGTTGGGGGTGCGTCTAATGCCACCTGCTGCTCCAGAGCCCCCCCAGCACTGGGGGTCCTCGGGTCCCTGTCTGAGCAGACACTGCTCCTCCTGCCCAGGAGTCTGAACGCCGTGGCCGACGGTCTCGGCGATGCTGACTAGATGAGAGCTGCCCTCTCGGGCTCATCTCACACCCTGCTCGCAGCCCGCCATCTGGGTGTCGCGGATGCCACACGCAGGTCCCCAGGCACAGCTTGACTACTGAACAGCGAGCAGCAGCGTTTCCGCAGAAAGAGACAGAGAGGCCAAACAGACACCTTCCAACAGATGCCTTTATCAGGGGGCAGTGGCCATGTAGGAGGAGGGACAGCAGCCCTGGGCTTTCTCTGAGGTTTTTTAAAAAACATCTTTTTTGAGACAGAATCTTGCTCTGTCGTCCAGGCTGGAGAGCAGTGGCATCATCACAGCTCACTGTAGCCTCAAACTCCTGGCTCCAGCGATCCTCCTGCCTCAGCCTCCTGAGTAGCTGGGACCACAGGCGAGCACCACCATGCCGGGCTTCCTCCAAGGCCTCTAACCGAGCACTGAGGGGCTGGCTGGGAGGGGGCAACGGCCACCCCCCCATCATTACCGTTCTTCTTGGGGCCTCTCCACACCACGGCCTCGTCCGGCTGCTCCAGCAGGAAGCCCACGGACATGAGGGAGATGCTCTGCTCCTGGTCCGCGAAGACGGGCACCCAGCCGCCGTTGCACTGGTGCACGGCCTTGCCCTGCGCCCGGAGCATGCGGGGGATGCTGGGGCCACACAGGTCCACGTCCAGGATCCCCACCTGCAAGGGGACGGAGGGCACATGCCGAGTCTCCCTCCGCCCTCGCCGGGCAGGGGCAGCCCCGAGGGGCGGGCGCTCACCTTCTTGCCTGCGTGGCGCAGAGCCAGGGCCAGCTCGGTGCAGACGGTGCTTTTTCCGACGCCTCCCTTTCCTGAGAGGATGAGGATGATGTGCTGGACGCCGGCCAGGTTCCCAGGCTCTGGTCAGGGATGTGAGACAGACAGGCCGGGACCCTGAGTGCCTCGCCTCTCTGCCCACTCAGCGCCGCGAGCCCCGGCCAGGCTCACGACCAGACCCGAACGCGGCCCCTGTCCCCTCCCCTGGCATTAATGGAAGGTCTTCCAGCAGCCCGACCCACAGTGGGTTCCTTCACCCCCGAGCCCTGCACTGGCTCGGTATGAGCGCACATGTGCGTGTAACACGTGCACGGCTCCCACCCACGGACAATACGATCCTAAACCCGCCAGCTCCATCTCGGTTCTCATAGGAAACAGGTGAGGGAAACAGGTGAGACAAACAGGACCTGCTGACGGGACCCACAGCACCTCTGTGCTGGAGGAGATGCCAGCCCTTCCCCGGAACACTCTCCTGGGGTCAGAGGTGGCGGTGGCCCTGGGCCTCCAGTTCCTAGGAGGACACTGACGCTCTGAGGACCCAGAGCGGCCACAGTCCAGCTGGCTCCCAGCCGCGCTCCTGGCCGCTGCAAGGAGTCTTAAGAAACCTTAGCAAACAAGAGCTGCCCCAGGATGCAACAGTGTCCTTGGCCACTCCTCACACAGGCCCCGGTCCCCACTCTGGGTCCCTGCCAACTCCTCTGGCCCAGCTCCTCTTCCTTCCGACGGTCTGCGGTGCTGCCAAGTGAGCGTTCGCCGCAGGGGCTGCCCCCGCGCAGGAACCATCCTCAGCCCCGCTGCAAGCCCCTGCCGCTGGTCTGCAGCGAGCCGCTCTCTCTACCACCTCTGGAGAGGTCCTTGGAAGGGGGGCTATGAGGCGTTCCACGAATGACCCGTAAATGCGGTCCCTGCACTTGATCCACCTCGAGGGCAGGTTTAAAGGCTCCCAAATCCAAAGCCTCCCAGGAAGAACTCGGGAACTCAGAGGGAACCTGGCCCAGCTTTCAGGCAGGTCCTTGTCACAAACGCGCTACAGCACCTGCTCTAAGTCTTTCTAAGGTGACACAGAAAGGGCACCCTTCCACCGCGTACCAGCATAAAGCCAGAGACCACAGCCTTGCGGTCACCCCTGTGGCAATGAATGGGTTGTTACTTAAATCACTCAAACACCAACAGGTGCGGGAAGAAACATGTGCGGACGGTTTAAGCTCACTTCTGTTGCTGCTGGGGGACTCTGTCCGGGCCTCTGGTGGAGACTGGGCGGGGTTTGGGTGCTGACTCTGCTCTGCCATTGGCGCTGGTGCGGTGTGACAAAGTTCTAAATCCCAGGGAGCCTGGCTTTCCTCAGCAGAAGCGGGGAATGTCACCTGCCTGGTGGGCTGGTGCGGAGCCGCACACAGGACGCGGTGCCAGGTAAGTGGGAGGAGCAGGGCCTTCCCACACAACTCTGCGGAAACCACCTGAACAACCTCCACTGCTAAGCAAAGTGGAAAAGTTTATAAGCAGATTATAAACGAAGCACGTTGACTACAGGGCCTAACAGACGAGAGACTGTGCTGGAGGGAGCAAAGAAAGACGAACATAAAGCAGGACCCCACGGAGGAAGTGGGGATCCTCTCTGCGGATAAGGTATCCTGCTCAGCCTTGTGTATAAAGTCCAGCCAAATCCAGAACATTCAATATGCGGGACAAACACGTGTTTTTATAGGAAAAGGCTCCTTCTAGAAAAACACAAGTAACTGATGCCAGGCGTTGCCTGTGGGCACAGGGAGGTCAGTTCTTTTTTTTTTTTTAACCGTATACCCCTTTAGGCCTTTTAAATTTTTATGTGCGTTTTTTCCCCTAGTTTAAAGAAAGCTTTTGAGTTGACACAGTGGCTCACGCCTGTAGTCCCAGCTACCCGGGAGGCTGAGGCAGGAGGATCGCTTGAGTCCAGGAGTTTGAGGTTGCTGTGAGCTATGATGACACCACAGCACTCTAGCCCAGGCAACAGAGTGAGACTCTGTCTCCAAAAAAACAAAAAGATAAATGTAGCAACCACTACTTACAAAGGCCTACTTTGGCTAATCTGTGCAAACTCTGACACACCTACTTGTATGTATTCTGTCCCACACGAGAATTTCACTTTTTTTAAGGCTTAGATACGACAGTACTTCCACAAACAACTAAAAATATGTGACACTTCGGTACTTCCTTCTTTTTAGAATATTACATTTAAACCAAACTTCTTTTTACTTCTTGTCCAAACTTTAAGCAAGGCAGCGTCACCAGGCTACTAAATCAAAAATCCATAGCATAAGACAGGGAAATAGCTGCATTTAAAAAACAGACAAAACAACTTTGCGCGCACTCTGAACACAACTGCAGAAACACCACCTGCCCGTGAGCGCGCGCCGGCCTCCCCCGCAGGTGCGACGCATACCTGTACCTTAGCGCACGCGGACGCGCCGCCAACGCAACCTTCCCCCGCAGACAACGAAGCTTAAAAAAAGTGGCCGCGGCGGGTCCGGCCCCGCTCCTGCCCCCGGGGACCCGCGAGTGCGGCCGGTCGGGGTCCCGCGCCCGGCTCCCGCCCAGCCCCGCCGGCCTGAGACTGGCGCACTGGAGCCGCGCGGCGTGGCCTCCCCGGGAAAGGCAAAGCGCGGCCGAGCCCCAGGCCGCGAGGCCGCGAGGCCGCAAGGACGCCGCCCCGACCGCCGCCGTCCCACCAGCACTTACCCGCCGCCGCCTCCATCCCGCCGCCGGCTGGAATTCGCGGCTTCCGTCCGTTTCCGCCTTCCCGAGTGAAGAGCCTTCAAGCCAATGGGAAGTGCGAGCCCGCCCCCGGCTCATCTTGATAGGACTAGTACCGCTTCCCTCAGCCAATCGGGTCGTTGGAGGAGTTCCTCAGCCCGGCGCGCCGGATCCGGCTCAGACGAAACGGAGGGCGACCTACTTCCTCGCCACGCTCGCTAGTGGGACCGCCTCCCGTCCGCGCTACGCCTCCAATGGGCGGGCGGACTTCCTCTCTGTCGGCTTGAGATGTGACCAATGGGAACGTGGCACCAAGATTGACAGGTCTTGCAACTTCTTGGCCGCGGCCGGCAGGCCGGAGACCCTCCCCCCGTCCGAAGCCGCGAACCGAGCGCGTCGGCTGCGGGCAGCCGGGCCAATGCGGCGCGGGGGGCGGGGATTGTTTACGTCCCGCTCCGGAGCGAAAAGTAGGTCACGGCCGGCCCGGCGGAGCGCGGCGGCGGCGGCGCGGCTGCAGGTGAGCGGCGGTGGGGCCGCGGTCTGCGCCTCCCGGCCTGGGTGGCCCGCCGCCCCCGAGGGCTCGGGCGGCCGCGCGCTGACCTTGCGGGCCGGGCCGGAGCGGAGGGCGCCGGCGCCGTGAGGCCCGCCCGGCCTTTGTTCCTCCCAGGCGGCCGCAGGGACTGCGGAGCCCGCGCCCGGGCCGCTGTCGCCTCGGGCGGCCCGCCCGGCCCGGGGCCGCGGGACGGGGAGCAGCGCCGGGCGGCACAGCCTCGGCCTCGGCTGGCGCGGTGACAGCGCGCCGGGCCATTCATTCGGCGAGCGTCACGTGGCGCCTACTGTGTGCGCGATGCGGCGAGCGGAGATTAAGCCGGGCTGGGAGCCGACGGTGGCCGCGGGGCGGGCGCAGGGGCCGGTGCGCCCGCGGCGGCGCTCCCAGCCCTGGACAGCTGCACCTGCGCGCGCTCACCTGGTGCTCGGGGTCCGCGGCCTGGCCGGCCCTAAGGTGGGAGCAGTGCCCGCCTCACTGGGATTTCAGCCGGGCGGAGCCGGGCACTAGATAGCCCGAGACCAGCGTGTCACCGTGGGTTGGACCTGGAAGGTGAGGGCCGGAGGCGGAGGGGGACCCGCCTTGAGCAGGTGCAGGGGGGCATTCGGGGAAAAGGGCAGGAGCGAGCTGGCATCTGAGAGGAGGCGGTGTGACTCGAGGAAGCAGAGAACCAGCCTTTTTGGAGTTTTGCGTTTTATCCCAAGAACAATGGCAAGCCCTGAATGGGTTTTAGGTTTGTGTTTCAAAAGAGAACTTGGCAGTAGTGAGTGAAGTGGAAGGTGAGTCATGTGGTCCACGGGATGGTGGCCCCGCGGCAGCGAGGAAAACAGTCGCGTGCGGTGGGGTGTGCCGGGCAGTCAGGCCTTGGGGAAGGAGGAAGGGTGTGTCAGGGATGGATGGATGGCTGCCGTGTTTCTGGCATGAACTGGGAGGTTGGAGAAGCCATTTGTCAAACTGGACAATGAAGGAGGAGCCAGTCAAGGTTTCAGATGCCTGTGGGACACGCAGGCGGGGCACCAGGTTTATGAGGAGCTGGAGAGATGGGCTAGGAGTCACATTCCGGAGTCATGGATGTCTGGATGGCATTCCACACCATCTACCTAGGTTTTATTGAGGTGCTCAGATACTTGAGTGAGGTACAGGTTCACGAACAGTCCTGGAGCCCTGGCTTCTGAAGCCCCTGCCCGTGGGTGGGTCGGGGCCGTCTGCGGAGCAGCTGAGACATGCCTGAGAAGTGCTGCAGGCAGACGACTTGGGGGGGGCAGTGCTGGGGGACATTCCGATGTGCTGCGTGTCTTCTTTTGCTCAGAACCGTTTTTCTTCCAGATTCTCTCCACCATGGCCAGACGCCCCCGGAGCAGCAGGGCATGGCATTTTGTCCTGAGTGCGGCCCGCCGAGACGCAGACGCCCGAGCTGTGGCTCTGGCAGGCACCACTAACTGGGGCTACGACTCAGACGGACAGGTAGGTCCCAGCGGGCGAGGCTGGGCTGGAGTGTGCAGATGATGCTCTAGGCAGGTGCTACCTGATAGGGGACTGTCTCCTGGGTGTGCTACGCTCAGTGAAGTTCTTTAACCTGGGGGAGGGACACACAGCCTCGGGGGTGACAGGACCTGAGAACAGACACCATGTTCTTCTCTGTTTGCTCTTCTCTGCACAGTGCAGTGTGTGGAGAGGTTGGCAGTTGGTTTTTGATCAGTTCATCCTGCAGAAATTCTCTGTTGTGTCTACCCAGTTTCCAGAGGTAGCTGTGGTTAATTTGGTGTGCACACTCCTGGAAGTTTCTTCTGCCGGTACAAACACGTGCTGTATGTTCGCGTGTATACATGCAAGAAAAAGAGAACCTTGATTCTTGAAAATCAAAGTTCCTGGGCCTTCTTCCATCCAGGGAGGCACAGAAACACAAAGCCGTCGGGGGCGAAGCTCAGGGGTTCGTCTGCAGCGGCTGTCCGATGCCCCTGTTGGCCTCGCAGCCAGCGCCGCACTGCACCCGTCGGTCTGTGCTGACGCTGCCACGGCAGGGCCGACGGGCCAGGGTGCTCAGCCGCTCTGCCTGAGGGGGGGCAGTGAGGCGGGAGGGGGGCGAGGTTCTCAGTTGGTGTCCTGAGGTCTTCCTTAGACCAGTGCAAGAGTTTGGCCATTTCTTGGGTGACTGTCTCTGCACTGTTGCCACAGCTATCCTGCAATGTTGTTCTGTCCCAGCCAGGTGTCCTGGGAGGGGCTGGGCTCCTCTCCTCCCAGAGTGAGGGCTTGTCCCTTAGTCTGATGGGACCACCAGGCCCTGGGGGTGGACAGGGAGCCCTGGTCTACTTACCAATCTGCTCCAGCCCAGGAGGGGGCCAGGCCTGCATTCCTGCCCTGCCTCCAGGTGCCACTGGTTACGTGGCTGAGCAGGCTGCTCTCTTGGGTCTGTCCCTGCCTCGCAGGCTCATGGCTGTGGGATGCAGGTGGTGTCTGCGGGCCGGGTGCAGCGTCTGACGCATGCATGCTGCTCATGCTCTGTCACCAAATGGGCCTGCAGTGCACGTGTGTGGGCAGGTCATCCTGAGTGCCTCAGAAGGCTGAATGACACACACCACCTCCCTTCCCTCTGCCTACAGCTGCCAGTGGGGTCAAGTCTGTCTCCTTCCCGGGGGCCTGTGGTGCTCAGTTCTGTGCCTGGGTTCCTACCTCAGAGGGCCCGCCCTATCTGCAGGCCGGGACGCCCCTCTCGAGGACGGCTGTCCCATTCTGGTTGGTCCTGACAGGCCCACATCCACCTGGAAGCCAAGTGAGCTTCCTGTGTCCTGGTTCTCTCTGGCTTCTCCTGGGGAGGCAGGTCCCCCGCTGAGGCAGCACCCCCACGTGACCTGTCGTCCCAGGGCAGCACACGCTGCTCCACCCTGCAGGTGCCCGTCCTTGACACAGGCCTCCTCACTCAGCCAACTCCTGTCGACTCACTCAGTTCAATGGCGACCGTGCGGCCACCGTGCCAGACACCGGGTGTAACAGGAGAGACTGGAGGGACCCGGCCTCCCTTGAGGAGCTTTCGTTCTATGGGAAGAGACACAGAAACAGGACAAAAGATTTCAGAGAATTGTGATGAGAAGAAATTGAAGGGGGTGGAGGGTCTACGGCAGGAGCAGAGCCCCACGCTGGGGCCGGCCTGACTGAGGGCTGCAGAGGAGAGGACAAAGGGGAGGGCAGAGGTGGGCCAGGGGTGCCCTGCAGCGGGCCTGTGGACTTCCTCAGGGCAGCAGGGGTTACAGGAAGGAGCCAGGGCCCAGCTGAGGGGGAGGCTTGGCCTTGGCCCTCCAGGCCAGCAGAAGCGACCTACGCTGGGCAGGCCTGGCCTCAGCGCAGGAAGGACCAGGTTCACAGACCATGCCTGGCTGGCCTCCCAGGAAGGCCTGTGGGTCAGTCTGTTGCCAGAACCTGGCCAGCTCAGCCTTGGTGTCTGGCCACCGGGCCAAGACCAGGCCCCCAGGACTTGGAGAACATGCCATACGGACTGAGCCCCTTGGAGGTGGTGGCCGAGTCCCAGCTTCCTGCTTTCCTACAGCAGAAGTGTGAAGCAGCAGCAGCAGCACGAGCCACTGGGCCTCGTGAAAGTGCCACTCCCTGCCATGGACCATACGACGTGAGGAGCCCAGCTGCTGTCTGGGAGACCCATGCTGCCACCCCCAGGGCAGGGCCTGTGGCTTATCCGTGACCCAGAATCTGCCCTGAGAAAGCCGGGCAGGAAGCTTGGACGACACCCTGGTGTCCATCAGCGGCTGGGCCTCTAGGGCACTGCTGGCGCAGAAATGGGCAGGAGCCTTTGTGCCGACTCCCACAGAGCAGCAGCATGAGGGGCCTCTGGGAAGGGGCCGTGCCAGTTCCTGCACCAGGCGTGGGCAGGAGCATGTCCCGGTCACCGCGGGGGGCGCTGTGAAGTGGGCCGTGCAGTGCTGGTGGGACACGGGGCAGCCCCTACCTCAGTGGATCTGAGTGGTTCAGCCTTTAGGGGTCGGGGCCAGCAGTGGGTGGGCGGCAGGCAGTATGGCCCATCCCTTCCTCCCAGCACAGTGACTCGGATTCCGACCCCGAGAGCTCGCCCCTGCCACCATCCATCCCCAGCGCGGTGCCCGTGACCGGGGAGTCCTTCTGTGACTGTGCCGGCCAGAGCGAGGCCACCTCCTGCAGCAGCCTGCACGTGGCCCACCGGGGCAAGGACTGCCGCTGCGGGGAGGAGGACGAGTGTGAGTGCCAGGGTGCTGCGCCGCCAGGACTGCGCCAGCAGGCAGGCCTGCGGTGGGCAGGGGGAGCCCGGGGAGCTCCGGGGCCTGCCCCAGCCTGGGCCTCTCCCTCTTGCAGATTTTGACTGGGTCTGGGATGACCTGAACAAGTCCTCGGCCACCCTGCTGAGCTGCGACAACCGCAAGGTCAGCTTCCACATGGAGTACAGCTGTGGCACTGCAGCCATCCGGGGCACCAAGGAGCTGGGAGAGGGCCAGCACTTCTGGGAGATCAAGATGACCTCGCCCGTCTATGGCACCGACATGGTAAGTGGCTGCCGGCTGGGGGTGTTTTGGAGGGCTGGCCCTGGAGGCCCTGCCACCCAGCCCCCTTGTTCCTAGATGGTGGGCATCGGGACGTCGGACGTAGACCTGGACAAGTACCACCACACGTTCTGCAGCCTGCTGGGCCGGGACGAGGACAGCTGGGGGCTCTCCTACACGGGTGCGTGCAGCTAGCAGGTGGGGCAGGGTGGGGTGGAGGCTCGGCTCCTGGGCTCACCCAACCCCCCCTGCCCCCAGGGCTCCTTCATCACAAGGGAGACAAGACAAGCTTCTCCTCGAGGTTCGGCCAGGGCTCCATCATCGGTGTGCACCTGGACACCTGGCACGGAACACTGACCTTCTTTAAGAACAGGAAGTGCATAGGTGAGGGCAGCCGGGGCGCAACTCCTCTCAGCCATGACCTTGCGTGGAGGCCCTGCAGGAGGCAGGTACCCCAGCCCAGGCCCGTCCCAGGCCGACCAGGGCTTCCCCCAGAAGCCAGAAGTCCCGGGGTCCCCAGAGGGTGGGCCAGGGGCCAGTGCAAGGCCAGGCTGGAGTCTCGTAGGCCAGAGCATGAGTCCTGACGTCCCTACTCGGCTGCTCACCCGGTCACCTTGGCATGATGCCCCTGCGCTGCCCCGCTTACCGGCCCAGGGCTCAGGCCAGAACGCTCCCTTCCAGGAGTGGCGGCCACCAAGCTGCAGAACAAGAAGTTCTACCCAATGGTGTGCTCCACGGCGGCCAAGAGCAGCATGAAGGTGATCCGCTCCTGTGCCAGCGTCACCTCCCTGCAGTACCTGTGCTGTTACCGGTTGCGGCAGCTGCGGCCAGACTCAGGGGACACGCTTGAGGGCCTGCCCCTGCCGCCTGGTCTCAAGCAGATGCTGCGCAACAAGCTGGGCTGGGTCCTGAGCATGAACTGCAGCCACCGCAAGCCCCCGGCCCCCTCGCCCAAGGCGGCCGCAGCCAGTCCCGGCGGCCCCGAGACCAGGCCCTGCCAGAGGAAACGCTGCCGACGGACCTAACTTATTTTCCAATGAAAACTGCCTTCTTGGGCCTGGACAGCTGTTTTCTCTGTCCCTTCCTTCCGGCCATGCTCCAGGGCAGCAGAGGAGGGAGGAGTGGGGTGAAGTATCTGGAGCCGTCCCCCTGCCTCCCGAGGCCAGGACAGTCCCTCCTATAGGGGCTCCAGAGCCACAGGCCGCTGGGTGTCCAAGTCCACTCTGCTGCCTGTGCCGGCCGGGGAAGCCGCGCCCGACCTTGAGCCCCGCTGGAGGCTGCCGCCTGCTGCCTCGGAGGAGCCTCGCTGGAGCTCAGCTGTTCCTGTTCCTGTGGCCTTGGTTTTTCCTACTTGCTTTGCATGTGATCAGCTGTCGCTCCTGTCGCAGAGACTTACGTGACTGTAATAAACGGAGTCTAACACCCACACAGCTGTGAGGTTGAACAGCCCACGTGGAGGCCTGGGGCTCGCTGGCACCTACGGGCTTTCTCCTGGCGAGTGTGGCTCCACCCTGACACTGCTGGGGAGAGGCAGGCTGGGGGGGGGGTGCGCTTCCTTTCTCCCTAGAGATTTCCTTAGTGCTTCTGAGGGTGCCACCCCAAGCCTCCAGGTGGCAGAGGGGACCTGGATACTGCCCTCCAGATTGTCCTAGCTGGGCACACAGTCCCGCTGCTCAGCTTCCCCATGGCCAAGGGCATGTTAACCCACTACCTCCTCCAGACCCTCTAACTACATGCCATCTACAAGCTGGGAAAGAACTTCTGCTTCTACTCAGCCCAGTTATCCAAAAACGTTCCCTGCCATCCCTTGCCTTCCCCTTGAGGTCAGAGGCTGGGATCCCAGCCCAGGGTGAGTACTCGTTGGGCCAAAGGTGTCTGGTCAATCCCTGAGGCCATGTGCTGTCCCACCGGCAGGCAGGAGGAGGCCCCCGCTGGGTCCTGGAGGCCTGGTCAGGAGCCCAGGTCCAGCAGGAGGTTGGGGTTGGTGGTGGTCAGAAAGAGGTACACACGGCGGGAGAGGTCAGGGCCCACCCTGCGGGGCCGCACGCCGTCACTGGCCTTCACAGGGAGGTCCGCCAGGAGGCCCCTGCGCTCCTGCTCCGTGCTGCAGGCCTCGAGTGCCTAAGAGCAGACACAGGCATGAGCCGGTGGCCTGGAGGGCCCGGCCTCCGTGGGGGTGGGAGTGGGGGAGCCCACCTGCTGCAGGAGGCGGGGGGAGGGGAAGGCAGTGACAACAGCGTCAGCCACGGCCGGGCTGACTCGATTAAACTGCCTGATCTGCCTCCACCAGGCCCTCCGTAGCCCTGCGCCGTCTCTCGTCACTGGCTTGCCCGCTGCCCAGCGCCCTGCCGTGCAGAAGGAAAAGGCCTGGGACTCCTGGGACTGCCTGAGGATAGGGAAGGGCACAGAGAGGCTTTGTAGAGACTTTGCCAACCCTCAATCACCCCCCTCCCCCCCACTAGCACAGCAGCGCCTTCCCACCGTGCTCTGCCCTCCAAGAGGCCGGGGAGGCGCCACCCCCCCAGGTGATCCTGCTCCCCCTCCCAGCACAGCCTGCAGCCCGGTGGGAGGTACCCACTTGAAGGGGCGCTGGGCAAGGGCTTTGGTGACAGCGCACACGTGCTGACTCAGCTCCTGCCAGGAGGCCACCAGCAGCACGTCCACGTTCGCCCAGAGCTGCAGGCGCACCAGGGCCTGGGGAGGGGCAAGCTGTGGGTGTGGGCCAGAGGAGGGATCCCCTGGGGACACGCAGCTGAGACCAACCCCACACGCCACCCTGGGAACCAAACGCGGCAGAGGGCAGCCACAGCCAAGGCCAACCAACTCACCGAGCCCAGACCGGCCCTCACCTCCTCCACCTCCGGCCAGCCGACAGTCCCCTCGGCAGGGGCCACCTCTGGACTCCCTAGCTGCTGCGTCCCCCGGGTGATGGGCTGGCGAGACCTGAGCAGAAGTGACCCTCCCTTTGGCTCCCACTCCCCATGGGTCCTGCCCTCCAGGGCCCTCCAGGGGAGTGGGATCGGCTGGGCCACAGCAGTCCCCAGAAGCACCCCCCCGAAACCCCTGTCGCAGCCCAGGCATCAGGGTGAGTGGTACCACAGGTAGGCGTCCAGCCCGATGACAGCCAGGTGGCGGTGAGAGGGGACCTCGGGAGGAAACCAGGGCAGCGGGCAGGCTGGGCCGGAGCCCTGCAGGGAGAGCACGCAGCACACGTTTGCAGGGGGAGCCGTGGCAGCAGGGGCCTTGTCCAGTTTGCAGAAGGGCAACAAGCCGGAAAAAAAGCCAGTGGTGCAGGAAGGAGCCTGGCAGGCGCTTCCTCTGCCCTGTCACCTCATCTGCAGAAACCAGCTTGTGCCTCCCTCGAGGTCAAGCAGGCTGAAGAGAGCCCCCTGGCTGTATCCTAGGTTTCTGGAAGAGTTGGCCTGAGCCCCTCACTCCTAGTTCTCCTCTGCACCCCAGCCTACACTTACCCGGCTCACAGCAGGTGCTTGATAAGAGCGGATATGTGGACACCGGGACCTGGTAGAGGGTCTAACCTGATGGCACTCTAGCACAAATGTCAACGGACCACTGTTTCTGCTGCAGCCAAGGCATGCCCTGTCACGGGGCTCCACATCTGCCCCCAGCCCTGCCCAGACATTTCCAACCAAGTCCCAGGCTCCCTCTCGCCCGCCTGCTGCCAGACTCGTGTGCTTCCTGCTCTCCCAGGGACCCGCACCTGCTTCTGCCTTCCAGGGGCAGCTGAAGCTCCTGTCTGTGCCCGGGAAAGGGCCCAGAGGCTTTCTCCATCTCACCCTCAACCTCACCATGGTTTCTGACCGAAGAGGAGTCCCAGCGCCCCCCATACCCTGCTGCAGCTCCTCCCGCCCAGGGCAGGAACTGGGAGAACAAGTCTCTGGCTGGGGACCCGGCCTCTCACGGTCTGCGGAAAGGGTCTATCACTTCAGCCCAATCACCTGGATCAGCTGGGCAACTCCGTGCAGAAACTCCTGAGGTTCCAGAAGCAACAGCAGTTCCTGCTCCTCTGCCGCCCACAGCTGAGGAAGCGCCTGTGGGGACAACCAGGACACAGTGCTGCCCACCCTCCTAGGGCCTCAGCCTGGGCAGCCTGGCAGCTCTGTGGTGCATGGCCACAGCCAAGTCCAGGCCCTGCCCAGTGTTCTGTCTCCTGCCAAGGCCAAGACCAGCCTAGCTCCACGGGGCCAGCAGGAACACTGACCACAGCCTCACTGGGGATGGAACATTCTTCAGCAGCACCTGAGCTCAGGCTCTAGAGCCCAACCTTGCTCCTTCCCAGCAGGCAAGACGTGCACGACCACCACAGCAACAGCCCTTTGGGACAACCCTAGGACACGAAACCGTGGACACGACACACCCAACCCAGGCTGGCACTCGGAAACCGAGGAAGGGGGCCCCTGCTGCAGTCACCCGTGACACTCACGCTGCAGGGGCAGGGGTCTGGCCTCACTCTGCCCCACTGGAGGCTCCGGGCGGGGCGCTGGGGCTCGATGCGGTGCTCGCAGCCCAGGGCCTCCAGGGCCTCCATCAGGACGTCAGCACCAGCATCTTCCAGGATGGCTGGGACCACCGGAAGGAGACAGAGCTCAGCCACTCCTTCCTTCCGCCCACATGAGGACCTTACTCGGGTGGGGGTCGCAGCCTGGCACACCCAGGCACCGGCCGCGGGCTCCAAGAGCGCAGGGCCGGGCCGGCGGGGAAGCCGCCCCAAAGTCCCGGGCAGCAGGCGGCTGCAGGGCCGCCCCTCTCCGCCCGAGAACAACTTCCCTCCGGCGAAAGGCAATTTCCGAGCAGAGGCGCGGGCGTGGCGGCCCGGCTTGAGCCCCGCGGGACCCTCACCCTCCGCCGCACCTGGGTCCACAAGCACCGCGAGGCGCCTCAGGGCCTGCTCGGGCCCCAGGAGCCGCGGCTCGGCCGCCGCCCCGCGCTCCGCGGCCGGGTCTCGGGCCTTCTCAGCGGCCTCCGCGCTGGCGGGGCCCTCGGTGTCCGAGTCCGAAATCTCCCAGGTCGGGGGCCGCCGTGGGCGGCTCCGGCCCCGGCCCCTGCGCGAACCCGCGGCGCTCCCGTGCCCAGCCGGCGCCATGGCCGGCCAGCTCTCCTCCCCTCCGGTCGCGCCCGGCCGCCTTTGACTGTGACACCGGCCGCTTCCGGCGGCGGGCGGGCCTCGGGGAGCGCGGCGGGGCTGGCTTCCGGCCGGACGCCCGGGCGAACGGACCGGCCATGGCGCGGAAGAAAGTGCGGCCGCGGCTGATAGCGGAGCTGGCTCGTCGCGTGCGCGCCCTGCGCGAGCAGCGGGAACGGCCGCGCGACTCGCAGCGCTACGCGCTGGACTACGAGACGCTGACGCGGCCGTACTCGGGCCGCCGGCTGCCCGTCCTGGCCTGGGCCGACGTGCGCCGCGAGAGTCGCCTCCTGCAGCTGCTCGGCCACCTCCCGCTCTTCGGCCTGGGCCGCCTGGTCACGCGCAAGTCCTGGCTGTGGCAGCACGACGAGCCGTGCTACTGGCGCCTCACGCGGGTCCGGCCCGACTACACAGCGCAGGTGCGTGTGCGCCCCCGGGACCCGGGCCGCCCTCCTCCCCGGCCCCGTGGTGCACCCCGCCCGTCCCCACGGGCCCTGCGGGCCTCCCTCCCGGACACCGAGCTCGTGGGGCAGCACTGCCTCCCCTCCCCTCCCCTCCCCTCCTCCATGCGAGTCTGTGGGACCGGGCTCCCGCCTCCTCATCTCCAGCAGGCAGGGAGCTTCCTTAGCTGACCCGCTTTCCGCTTGCTTTGCAGAACTTGGACCACGGAAAGGCTTGGGGTATCCTCACCTTCAAAGGTAAGGCCTGGGAGTCAGGTGGGCAGACAGGCGCAGCTCACAGACTGCCAGCGAGTGTGTGAAATGAGCCTTTTTCTCTCCCCAGGGAAGACGGAGAGCGAGGCCCGGGAGATCGAACACACCATGTACCACGACTGGCGGCTGGTGCCCAAGCATGAGGAGGAGGCCTTCACCGCGTTCACGCCGCAGCCCGAGCACGGCGTGTGCTCCGTGCCCTACCCCCCGCTCCTCCGGGCCATGATTCTCGCAGAGCGACAGAAAAGGGGGGACACTAGCACCGAGGAGCCCATGTTGAATGTGGAGGGAATAAACATCCAACCCTGGGACTACCCTGCAAAACAGGAGGCAAAGAGAAAGGCCAAGGGCACCCCGGTCTGAAGTGCCAGAACTAGCAGGTCACCTGAGGGGTGTAAGGTCGTGGGGACCATTTTGAAGAATGAAAATCTTTGGGCTACACTGGAGTCAGCTCCCTCTGAGTTTGGAGTTCATCTTCATTGACTTGCTGCATCTTAGCTGAGCGGGATGGGGCGGACCCTGCACCTGGTCTTTCCCCAACACCCAGCTGCAACTGCGGGGCCACGCGGGAGAGGCTGCTGGGAGAAAGCGGGGAGCACCGGCTCCTCTTTTCCCATTACTGTTGCTTCCGCCGGGATGCGGGCAGAATAAAGGAAAACCAAGAGCTTGGGCTGTGGTTTCTTTGCGTTTGGTGTTGGTGGCCAGAGCAGGGTGTCTGCAGAGCTGGGGAGGGAAAGGCTGCAGCTCGCCCAGGGGTGCCGAGCAGGCGCCAGTGGATGGGGAGACCCTATTGGGATGCGGGCAGCAGTAGTGTTCCAGCGGCTGGGGGCGACTTGGCCTCTGCAGCTGCCCTCCGGCCCCCCTAGGCCCCTGGATTCCTGGGGTACAAGTGAAGCAGCCTGCCCGAAGCGGCCGAGGTCCCTTTAAGCGCAGGCCCCACCCCTGCCGCCCCGCCGGGCCCGGGCAGCCGCCGCCATCATGATCTGCCTGGTGCTGACCGTCTTCGCCAACCTCTTCCCCGCGGGTGAGCGGCCGGGCGGGCGCGGGCGCGGGGGCGGGCGGCGCCGGGTCGGCCTCACGCCCTGTCCCGCCGGTCCCCGCAGCTTACGCCGGAGTGCACGAGCGCACCTTCCTGGCCGTGAAGCCCGACGGCGTGCAGCGGCGACTGGTGGGCGAGGTCGTGCGGCGCTTCGAGCGCAAGGGCTTCAAGCTGGTGGCGCTGAAGCTGGTGCAGGTGGGCGCGGGGGGTGGCGCCGAAGCTGGTGCAGGTGGGCGCGCGGGGCTGGCGCGGGACCGGGCCGCCTGTCCCTTCTCCCCAGGCCTCCGAGGAGCTGCTGCACGAGCACTACGCCGAGCTGCGGGAGCGCCCCTTCTACGGCCGCCTGGTCAAGTACATGGGCTCAGGGCCCGTGGTGGCCATGGTGAGTGCCCGGCGGGCGGCCGGCCCCGGGGACCCCTGGCCGCGCGCTGACGTCGCGCCCCGTCCCGCCCGTCCAGGTGTGGCAGGGGCTGGACGTCGTGCGCGCTTCGCGGGCGCTCATTGGGGCCACGGACCCCGCTGACGCCCTGCCCGGCACTATCCGCGGGGACTTCTGCGTCGAGGTCGGCAAGTAAGGCCCGCCCCGGGGGACGGCCCCAGCCCGGCCCCGCCTCCACACCTCGGCCCGCAGGGCCCTGCGCGAAGCTCCTCCGTGCAGCTGGGGCCCCGCGCTCAGGCGCGCCTCTCCCGCGCAGGAACGTGATCCACGGCAGCGACTCGGTGGAGAGCGCCCGCCGCGAGATCGCGCTCTGGTTCCGCGCAGAGGAGCTCCTGTGCTGGGAGGACAGCGTCGGGCACTGGCTGCACGAGTAGCCTGCGCATCTGGAAGTGACTGCGATACCTGCATCCTTCAGGTCCCACCCAGACTTCAGGCCTTGCAGCATCCTTTCTGCGGCAGGGACCGTGGTAACCCTGCAGGACCTCCCTCAGGGTGGGCGGGTGCGGCCCCACAAGCCCTGGCATGTACTGGGCCTTCCTGCCCGAGATGCCACCACACATAGCAGCCTCAGAAATGCCCCCGGTAGCACCTCTAGCACTCAGCTTGGTTTAGCGTTTCTTTTCATAATAAACAGAAAAAAGTCCTTGTCTTTGTATTGGTTTAGGCCCAGGAACAGAGATACGACGTTAAGACGTTTATTACATACAGAGCAGATATGTGGGTTCACTTGCAGGGCCAAAGCCTGAGGAGAGTCGTCACCTGGCCCCTTCCCCCGGCTGCGCCCACCCGGCTGGCCCCCGAGTCACTTCACGATCCTGTGGGACAGACAAGGGACCCGACGTACATCACAGTGGAGGTGGCGGGTGGTGGGGAGAAGCCTGCAGCTGGATGTGGCTGCAGTTCAGGGTGGCCAGCTGGGCTCGTGGGACAGCTCCCCGAGGTCTGTGCTTCTCTGGTGGGAGGGGTGGGCAGAGGGCTGGGCTGCCCTGCTCAGGGCCTGTGCCTAGGAAGGTGGGGGAGAGACCAGCGAGGCCCACCCAGCCCGGGAGGGCAGTCCAGGGCGGCTGCCCCCCCACATGCCTAGAGCCCGGCTGGACGTGGCTCCTTAGCCCTTTCGGGCCTCTGCTGGGCAGCCTCTTTCCTCAGTTGCTCTCAGAGTAGGCCGCAGCGGGCAACCCTAGGCACTTAGCGTGTCTGGGAGCTGGGCTCCTCGGAGCCCTGTGCAGGAGGAAGGCCCCAGGAGCACACCGTCCCCCATCTACCTGAGGCTGAGCCTGCACCCTCGGGCTGACCCCAGGAGAGGCCGGGGCCTCCCCTTCTTCCTGAGGCTGGGCTTCCACCCTAGGGGCTTCTGGGAGGGGCAGGACTCCAGGGCCCTGCTCCTCCAAGGTGAGTCTTCTGCCCAGGTGGAGCCTGGGGGAGACACGGGTCGGTGCGGGGCTCCAGCGGGATAAGGATGGCTGGCCTCTTTTCAAGCAGCTGCCCCAGGGTGCCTGGCCCCGTGCTTTCATGCCAGGTCCCTGGGCAGGGGGATGCCAGGGTGGGGGCTGAGGGAAAGAAGCCTGGGGACGGGGGAGCCCCAAAGGCCGGCTGGGGCCAGGCACCTGGGCAGCCTGAGCCCCACCTCCCTAGGCAAAGGCTCGTCACCGGCCCAGTTCCCTTGGGGAGAACAAGGGCCTGGGGGACAGGCTGAGACCCACCCCCGACCCCAGCAGCATGCAAAGGCAGGTGGGCTCAGGGTGGGAAGACTTGGGCGTCACCTGCAGCAGCTGCCCACATTGGATCCCGCCTCACTCTGGCCCTGAGGCGCCCCTAGGACTTGGGGAGTTTGGGCTGGACACCAGCCAGGAGCCACTGGAGAAAGGGTGTCCCCGAGAGAGTCTTCCCTTCTTGGGTGGAAAATGCCACCTGCTCCCCTCCTCCCAGCTGCCCCGTGTGGCTGCACTCCCTGCCAGCTGAAGGGACTGGGCCTCAGGTGAAAGCTGCAGGTTGAGAGGTTAGAAGAGGGGCAGGTGGGCGGGGGTCCTATGTACACGTTGGCGTCAGGCAGGGTGGGCAGCGGAGGTGGCCTCACTCAGGCGTGTAGGACACCTGCCACACGATGACATGGCTGCGCTCCGCCTTGGACAGCACGGGCTTCACCTGGCTCATGTCCCCACTGCCCTCCTCGGTCTCGTCGTCTTCTCCGTCCCCTGGGGGTGAGTGGCAGCTGTAAGGGCTGGTTCCCTCTGCCAGCGCCGGGCCCGCATCCCGGCCAGTGTGCACTCACCGATGCGGAAGTCGATGTAGCCTTCGCCGCCGCTCAGCACCAGCACGTTCCTCAGCTTCTGGCCCTCGGCCTCCGCGGGCGCGGTGGGCGCGGGGCCCTCGGAGGGGCTGTCGAGCACACTGCCGTTGAGGGTGGCCAGCACGTTCCCTGTGGGGTGGAGGGACCTAAGGACGGCAGAATCCTGCACGGGGCCTAGCTGCCGAGCCGTGTGGGGGGCGGGGAGCCAGGGAACCGGCCCGGCCCTCACCTGGCACCGAGACAAAGAACTTGACGGCATCTCGGTGCCCGTGGAAGCAGAGCTGGGCCTGGGCCATGGAGCAGTAGGGGATGAAGCTGCTGGCTGCCTTGTCGCTGCCGTCGTCCCCGTACACATGGATGACGCCCCCCGGGCGGGCTCCCTCCCCGGATGTGGGGGATGTCTTGTTGGCTGAGACAGACAGGGCCGGAGAGAGGGGCTGACTCCGGGTGGGGAGCCCCGGCTTCCCAGCAGGCGAGGGGAGGCCAAGAAGGTGCCTGCCGGATCCGCAGGCAGGACTCTGGACTCACCTCGCAGCCCCAGGAGCTGGCCTCGGTGCAGGACCACCGCTGGGGGGCAGCGCAGGGCATGGGAGGGAGAGGAGAGGAGGTCGGTGGAGGGCAGGTAGGGCCACGTTTGGCTTCAGCCAGGGCAGCCGGTGTCCTCCCGAGTGGCTTGTGGACCCCCACCCAGCCCTCACCATCTCTGCAGGTGTCCCTGGGGCCACTCACTCTCAGTCAGGGGGATGGAGATGACAACCCCGTTGCCAGTGCCCACCCAGAGGCGGTTGCCCGCGATGAGCAGAGCCGTGATGCGCACGAAGGAGAAGCCCAGCTTGCCGGTGCCTGCGGTGCGAACGGGAGGGCGCAGTCAGTGCAGCCGGGGCACGGCCCCCACCGCCCGCCTGGCACAGCCCCTCACCCAGCATCTTGCTGACGTAGGGCTCGATGTCCACATCCTGCAGGTGCTGGTGGGTGTGGGCGTGGTAGAGCCGCAGGGTGGAGTCCAAGCGGATGGACACCCACACCCCGTCGCCGATCCACGCCAGCTGCCGCACCTGGCTCTCCCGCCGCGGGTGGGCGTCAAACGACTTCTGTGGGGTAATGGTGCCCGTCAGTGGGTGTGGAAGAGGAAGGGCAGGGAACCCTGGCCCTGCTGCAGCCCTGAGGTCGCCCCGATGTCCACGCGGCCCACGCCGACCTCCAGCCCGGCGCCTGCTTGGCTGCAGGGGACGGCGAGGAGGCTGAGCCGTGGGGCGGCCGAAGGGAAGACTGGGGCCCACACAGGTGTCCCCTGGGCTTCTGTTTCAAGGGTGAGCAGCACAGGCTGGCTGCCCCTCCCCCGCCCATGACTTGAACAAACGAGTGACTTGTCCCAGCCCGTTTTCTCCCTTGACCTCACAAAGCTCCGCGTGGCGAGTGGGGAAGTGACGTCGGCCAGCCCTCCCCTCCCAGGCCCAGGCCGCCGCCGCCGGCACTCGCCTCGATCTGCATGGTCTTGGGCTGGATGACGTGCACCTTGTTCTTGTAGCCGCACCAGACGCGGTCGTACACGACGGCCATGCAGCGGATGGAGTGGTGCGGGTGGCCCAGGTCCATCAGGTGGTAGTTGCTCAGGTCCCACTGGCCATCTGGAGAGCGCCCGCGACACCTGCCCAGCCTGGCCACCGCCCAGCCCGCTCTTGGGGCGGGGGCTGGAGACACCCCTGCCAAGCTGAGGACAGGCCCCGGGGACCCAGGGGGCCCCTTGGCCAGTCTCGGGCAGGGCCGCAGCCACCACCCACCTGCCCAGGGCCACCAGGTCTTACCTTCGCCACGGTGAAAGATAGCCAGCGTCCCATCTGCCAGGGCCACCAGCACACGGCCTTTGACGTGCCTGTGGTGGGGAGGTGGAGTCGGGTTCACGCCACGCAGGGAGGGCACAGGCTGGGCCACCCAGCAACCCCCGCTGCCCGGCCCGGCGTGGGATCACCTACACCAGGCTGAGCACGGAGTCCTTCAGCTTGATGGCGTGCAGGCACTTCTTCCAGTTGGCCACCGCCGAGTGCACGTAGAGCCTGTGGAGGTCGGCCGGTGGGCAGGGCTGGCCGGGGGACCTCCCGCCGCCCTTGCCCTGGGGCCCTGCCTACCAGCCATTCTGGGCTCCCAGCCACATGGTGGGCGCGGCACTGCTGCCTGCTCCCGTCGGGTCTCCGCTGGGCTCCGGCCCCGGCTGCGCGGCGCTGCCGTCGGGCTCCGGCCCGTTCTCACTGTGGGAAGGACGGTGGCTCCAGGGTAGCCCTGTGACCCTGCCAGGCTCCCCCCGGCTCCCCTCCCCACTTGGCCTGAGAGCCCACCTGCCAGGCTGGGTGCCGGAGGGTGGGGCGGGCGCCGGGTCAGTGAAGACGTGCTCCGTGAGGGGCCCGGGCCGCACCGCCGCCACGTCTGGCTCGCTGGGGCCAGGGTCTGGCACCTCCGTAGCCTCCGTGGCCTCCTCTGTGGACTGGGATGGGTTGACCTTCCCATTGGCAACGGCAGCCACCTCCCCTGTGGAGGGTAAGGCGAGTGTGGGCAAGGCAGAGATGCAGGAACGAGGGGACGGAGAACAGCCGCCCGGGACTCACCCTGCTCCTTGTCCAGCACCGGGGTGTCCCCTCGGGAGGAGCAGTTGCTACGCGGCACGTTGCAGCGGGTGGCACAGCCCACCAGGGTGATGCCGGCCAGCACGCCGTCGGTGCCCGAGTCTTCCGGGTTCACGTCGACATCCAGGAACATCTCCCCTGGTGGGTAGTCGCTGTCACTGGCCGCTGAGGGGACAGTCACGCGCCCGTCAACCCACGTGGGCAGCCCACTAAGGGCCACGCCCAGAGCTCACAGCTTGGCGGGATGGGAGAGGGGATGGGCCGTCTCTGGCTCTCTCCCAGCAGGACCTGCCTCAACACACGGCCCCGCCATGGCCTGCTCGTGGCCGCCGGCCCGCAGGCCTGGGGCTTCGGCAAGCTCGCTCTGTGGGCTGCGCCCTGGCCACGGGGACTGAGTGCTGGGACTCTGGTTTTGGGAGAAAAACAACTGTGATCCAGGACAGACCCCCAGGAACTCTACGGAGGCACAGGTCCCAGGAGGTGGCTGGGGGTCCACGCCAGCGACCCTCGTCACCCCTCCGCGTGCAGTGCTGGGGCTGGGCCCAGAACGTCACGAGACTGCTGCCCCAGTGGGTGACGACAGCCCCTCAGCCCCACCCCCAGCTCTCTAAGCCCTTGGTGAGGCAGTGGGATTTGGGCCCAGCTGGAGGCTTCACATTCAGCACAAAGAAATGTTTTCTGGACCAGGCGTGGTGGTCACGCCTGTAACCCCAGCACTCTGGTAGGCTGAGGCAGGAGGATCGCTTGAGCCAAGGAGTTGGAGGCTGCAGTGAGCTAGGCTGACGCCACGGCACTCTAGCCCGGGCAACAGTGAGACTCTGTCTCGAAAGACCGCCTCCTGACAGGGAAGCGCAACATCCCGACAGCAGCGGGACTAAGCAGACGAGGCTGCCAGCGAGCTTCCTGTGGACAAGGGGCCCAGCGGGCACGGCCGCCTCCCACCGTCTGCTGACATGCTCCTGTGTCACAGGGTATCACAGACGGCGGGTGCTGCATGGCAGGCAGCCTCTTCACCTGACATCCAGCCCCCCCATAAGGAGGAGCTCCCGCCCCGCGCGGCTCACCGGGGATGCTGGCGATGCAGAGCACGTGCGCGTTGCACACCGTGAACTGGTCCACGACGGTGCCCGGCTGGTTGGCGTCCACGATGACCACCTTGCTGGTGCTCAGGGTGCTGGTGAGGATCCACACCCGGCTGGAGGTGGCGTCTGCGTCGGGCGGCTCCTTTGCCTGTTGCAGAGCACGGGGTCAAGGCCAGCCCAGCAGCACCGTGGGGTCACGTGGGGTCTCCCAGCGTCTCTCAGGACCTCGTCTCGACCATGGCCTTAGGGGCACAGCTGTCCTCCCCCGGCCAGGACACGTTATCTAAATTGCTCACGTCCACAGTCTCACTTCCGCAGGGGAAGACCAGAGACTAAGTCACTGGCCCCCAAATCAAGCCAGGACCTAAAACGAAGCCCTGGACTCCAACCGGAGAGCACGCCCTGCGCCCGCCCTGCCCTGCCCCGCTGCTCCTCTGCAGGTCGTGACTGTGCTCCCCGCTCAGAGAGAAGCCCTGGCGGCCGAGCCGCCGGCTGCTGTCCGCTGCGCCTGGGCCCCTTGGCAGCCCCGCCATTGAGGGTGGACAGTGCCCACCACAGCTCCGAGGCAGGGCTGATGGCGGCCATGGGAGCCCAGGAGCTCCTGCCTCATCCACCCCGTCTCAGGGACTATCCCCAGCTGTCCTGTCTCTGTTCCTCCCAACCAGACCCCAGCTGAGCTGTCCAGAGACTCGGAGCGGGAGAGGTTGCACCGGCGGCCGAGGCCAGTCGCTCCGACCTTCTTCTTCTCAGGGGATGTGTGGTTGCTCTTGGGCTCGCCATCCACTTCTCGGTCACAGGTCAGAGGGTCGCGGCCTGGCGTGGTCTTGACCCCATTCCCGGGGTCGTCTTCCGGAGGCTTCCACCCGCTCAGGCTGACGCCGGCGGCACACCACAGCTGCAGGGACAGGGCTGTGGTGAGGGGCGCACTCCTCTGCTGGCCGCCTGCAGGGCCCCCGGCCTCCCAGCCTGCCCCCCACCTTCATGGTCGGGTCCTTCTCCACCAGAGGCCGGCAGTACACGGGGACAGGCACGTTCTTCATCCTCGTGTCCTCCTGGGCCCCACTGGGACTCAGCTGCAACCAGCAGGAGGGTGCTGAGGGCGCGCAGCCTGGCCCGCTCTCCTTCAGAAACCAGAGCCCCTGCGCCTGCCGGCTTTGCAGAACCGGCCCCGGGCAAGAGGAGCCTGGCTCCGCAGTTCCTCTGCAGTGGGGCCCTGGGAGCCGCGGGGCTCCTCCGCCGCCCCTCCAGACAGCTTCGGACTCCCTGCCCAGGGGCTCGCCGGGACACGACGGGCTGAGGGGCCGGTGCCAGTCTGGCCCTACCGCCCCCTCCACCTGGCCCTGTGCCCGCCCCACGCACCTGCTTGTACTTGGCCGGCAGGCTCCAGCCGCAGGCCTGTAGCCGCCCGTCGTCGTTGCGCACGTGCTCACGCACCTGGCGGTACTGCTCGCGCTTCTGCTCTCGCCGGGCAGAGGACGTGCAGTCGCTGGGTGGAAGGAACGGCAAGTGACAGCTCTGGCCAAGGCTCAGCCCCGCAGGCCTGGCCCACGGGGCAGGGAGGGCAGCCCAGAGGAGGCTGTGGTCCGTCTGATGGGGGTGGCTTCCCCGGCACCAGGGGTGGCCTTGGGCTTAGAGGCCACACCCAGCACCTGCCTGACCAGGAGCCCATTCTACTGTCACGGTCGCCAAGGGCTCGAAAGCCCGGGCCACGGCTCAGCACTTCCTCACTGGACGTGGGCCTGAAATGGCTGCTTGGTGCCAGCAGAGCTGCATGGAGAGGCCACGACCCGACACCTTGGCCCGTGTCCCGAGAGCTGAGGCCGGCCCCCAAAGTCCTGCTTCAGGGCCTGGAGGGGAGGGTCCCTGGACACATTCCCCCCGCCCCTTGCAGCTTGGGGGTGAGGCTGCGGGACACTCACTCGTCGGGGAAGAACTCCAGGGGCCGGCTGCCCGCCGAGATCTGGCACATGCCGTGGTTCCGGCGCTGGCTGAAGCCTGCCGTGGTGGGCGATTTGTAGTGGATGTTCACGGAGGGGTAGGACCGCTTGGCCGGCGGGGGACTGGACGAGGAGCTAAAGAGGCGGCTGAAGCTGCCAGGGCACAGGAGGGTGAGGGGCAGCAGTGGACCCGGGGGCCTCCCCGCCTCCCTCCGCCGCCAGCCACACCCCAACACCGCGGCTCACAACTGCCAGATGGTGGACTTCTTCTTCTCCTGCACGGACGGGTGCTCTCGGGATGCTCTGCGGGGGGTGGGGGGGCACAGGGAGGAGCTCGCTGGGGTGTCCCGCCCCCCTGCCTGGGACCCCGCAGGCTCCCCCGGGAGGGCCCAGCGCCCTCTGTCCTCCCAGAAGAGAGGAGGTGTGTGGGGTCCCATGGCGACCACAGGTCACACACGGAGGGGGAGTGCCTTGGGGGCACCTGTGGGGAGCAGGCTCCCGGCCCCCAGGCCCACCTGATCATCTCGGTCCACCGCACGGCCTCCTGCAGCTCCATCAGCCGCTCCTTGTACTGGTTGCGCTCCATGAGCACGCGGGCCATCTCCACCCGCGTGAAGCGGCGGCGCTGGGCCATGGGGATTTTGTCCTGCGGAGGGGAGAGGCGCAGGGCTCAGCCACCGAGCGCTGTGGTCCCTGCAGCTTCCTCGTGGGACCTGCCACCTGGGCGGAGGGGTGCAGCCTCCAGGTGGGGATTTCCCACAGACCCTGGGGGAACCGCAGGGGTGGGGGGTGGTGGGCAGAGGGAGCCCAGTCCACACGGCCCTACCAGGGCTGCTGCTTCCCAGACCGGCACGTGATGTGCTTGAGGGAGCAACCTAGGGAACTTCCTACAGCTCCCCAACACCTGGACAAGCCCAGATGCTGTTGAGTGCAGCACGGGGGGGCCGGGCCCAGGCGAACGCCGGGACGGGAGGGTGGGGGAAGGTCCAGCCAGCGGAGCGCTGACGCTTCCTGCCGACCTGTGCGGGCCCAGCAAAGGGCACCCACGGAGCGTAGGGCGGGCAGGTGGGGTCCTCCCCCCATGGCCCAACCACCTGGCACTCTGCGTTCTCAGGGGCACGTCCTACCTCAGCCCTGGAGCGAGGGCCCAAGCCCAGGCCCAGCCTCCCCTCTGACCCAGTGTGGCAGGGGTGGGGGTCACAGTCCACCTGCAGCTTTCTCTCCTTGACTATGGGGAGGTGGAGGCCACACAGGGGGCGCCAAGTCATGACTTTCCTTGATCCTCACCACGACCCCCAGGGACCAGGCCGAGGAGGGGGAGGCCACAGATGGTGTGACCCCAGGGGCTGAGCCTGCTCTCCTGAGGGACGGCAGCCCTGCTGCAGGGGGACAGGCCTCGGGCCTGGAGGGTTCTGAGGTGGGAAGGGCCCCACCAACGCCCAGGCAGCAGAGGGCTCTCCTCGGAACAGCCCATGCTCCTCAGCGGTGGGGTGGGGGCCTGGGAGGGGACCTCAGGTGGCTGATGCTACTTCTGCTGCCTGGCTGTGCGGCACAGCCAGGCAGACCCCGCTTGTGACGTGCAAAATGCAGCCACTAGGACCTGGGACTGAGGGTGACCCAGCGTCAGGGCTGGGACCCCACCAGGGGGTGTGGCCTGACCGCAGCGGCAAACGATGCCGCCAGATTCGACATCACACAGGAGGGTGACGAGGGCCAGGAGCCCAGGACCGGCAGTCCCCGCCCCGCGCCCGCCCCAAGCCCCACATGTTAATAGTGGAATATACCAATTCTGTACAGAGATAGCTGCTTACATCCTCCACCTCTTCTCGGGGCTCACGGCGGGCGACGATGGCCTCCGACTTCGCTCTGCGGGATGAGGGAGGACATGGGGACCGGTGAGGCCCCAGGGGCCTCGGGAAGACCCAGGCTTGGGCCGGCCCAGCGGCGTGTCTGCCTCTGAGCAGGACTCGGGGCTCTCTGGTCCGGGGCCCTGAAGGCTCCTGCCAGTTCCCTGGGACAGCGCCCCACGCCTGGCCTCACGTGTGCCCTGAGGTGCAGATGCCCGTCCTGGCAACTCCGGCCAAGTGAGGCTGACAGGGAGGCGAGGCGAGTGCCCGGCAGCCCTGGCTTTGGGTGAGCCCAGCAGACCCTGTCCCCTCCCCTGCAAAAGCGGCCCTGGGCCCTCGCCCCTCCCCTCCTCGCCAGAGAACTGTCAACAGCCACGTGGCCTGGCCTTGGCTGGTCAAGGGCTGGGAGCAGAGGGGGCTGCGGGGTCCCTCCCCACCCTCGCCCTGCACGAATGAACAGCGGGTGCGCGAGCGGGGCCACGCCCTGCATGTGCCTAGGAGCGACTCACACGCCAGGCCCCGTGCTTGTGCCGATCCCACAGCCCCGCGTGCTGGGTCCGGTGGGCCGATGTGAGTGGTGCTGCGGGGGCAGGCCTCGGATAGGGCCACCTGGGAGGGCAAGCTGGTGCGGGGGGGACGCAGGAGCACACAGAGGCCGCCGAGCCCTCACCTTTTCAGCTCCTCTTCCAGCTCCTTGATGCGGTTTTCCAGCTTGACCTTGGTCTGCTTGGCGGCTTCCAGCTCTCCCTTCAGCACCTCCTGCTCCCCCGACAGCTGGTCGACCTTGGCAATGAGGTCGTTCTTCACGACATTCAAGGCATTTCTTGGAAAAAGCAGAAGGACGGGAGCTTCATGTGAGCCTTGAGTGCACGACACAACAGAGCTTTCTGAGGGGTCCGTGTCCGTGAAGGCACATCCCGGTGAAGGATGCACTGAAGGTGGTGACCCGTCCCCATCTGGCGCTAAACTCCAGGGTCACCCTAGGGAAGGGGTCCTTAGGACGGGGAGTCACCCAGGAGTCCCGCTCCGAGTCCCTCTGTCTCCCTAGGAGGGTGAGCCCTCTGGCCTGGTCGGTCCGGCGGCCTGGGGAGAGGGACTGCCGGGACAGGGCCTCTTACTTGGTTTCCAGAAGCTGTGAATTTTCCAGCAGCAGATTCCCGACTTCTTTGCCCATCCCTGAAACAGAAAGGCCGGAGGTTTGATCTGTGCCTTTCGAGGCTGGACCCTGACATGACCACATCTGTCTCAGAGTGACGGTGTCGGGGGTGGCCTGTGTCTGGAGGCTGACAGGGGAGGTGCGGTCAGCCCCGAGCCTGCTCTGCGGCCGCAGGAAGGCCCTTCTCGCATGGAGCAGGGGCCCCAGGGCAGCCGCTGGGCTTGCACCCCAGGTCCTCACCGCTCCCGCCCAAGATGCCCTGGAACGGCCGATGTAGCCACGCAACCCCGCCCACTGGCGTCACCCCCTTCCCCCGGCTCCGTGATTTCCAGGCCTGTCATGAGGCAGACGCCTTAGCGCTGCCCCACAGGTGAATCATGTTGGAGCCGTGGTGACAGGACACAGATGACAGTGAAAACTTCTGGCTGCGGAGATGTGATGGCCTGTGGCAGGCACGGCCATCTACCAGGGCGAGGCGCAGGCCGGAGGGCCTGGCCAGGGTGATGGGGCCTGCAGGAGGCAGTGGAGGGAGCGGACAGAGGAGCACGAGGAGGCACTGACCCGGCCCCTTTGCCACCAGGCCCCAGAGTGGACTCCACAGACCGAGCTTCCTGCAGGCAAGTCACAAACCCCCAAAAGTTCCTAATCTGAGCCTGCAGGGGAGACCCGAGGCCTGGCCCTCCTGCACTGGGCACACCTATGTGCTTGGGTGTTGGGGTCCTGCCTGCCGTCTGCACTGACCCCCCTTGGACAGGTCGCAGCAGGCACCGGGCTCGCCCCAGACAGGGTCTGCCCCAAGTGTGTGGCAGCTCAGAAAGGCCAGGCTGCCCTGCCTCGGCTGTCAACAGTCTGCCCACGGGGAGCCAGGCAGGTCGGAGGGAGGGCGCCGCCTCCCACGGCCCACCGAGGCACAGCAGAGACGTCCCTCGCCCAGGCCTGCCCCCCGGGAGCTGGGGGCCCCACTGCCCCCCGTGCAGAGCAAAGCCCCCGGCATGTGAAGCATGAGGAGATGTCGGCGTGGAGAGGAGGGACACGCACGGACGCGACCTGGCCTTACCAAAGAAATCATCGCGCACTACGGGAGCCGTCCCAGTCCCACGGGAGATGGGCGACCCGGGCAGGCGGGAGAGAGGGAGGGGAGAGAGAAAAGAAGCGCATTAAGCCGTGTAGACAGCAGGGCGGGCAGGCCCTAGAGCTCGTTCTCGCTGGGTTAGGGGTGGGCGCAGGCAGGAGCTGGCAGGGCAGGTGGGATGGAGCCCGATGCTCCTTCCAGAAAGTTTATCCTTGAGATCGCACGGAAGACTACCAGGCCAAACCCCCCGTGAGGAAGGCAGTTAACAGGTCCCAGATGCTGGGCTGGGAGGAGCTGGGGCTGTGGGCGGCGGCAGCTGTGCCCGGGCATGGCTGCCTTTGAGCACTGGCAGGGCAGCGGCCTCGGAGCACCCCTGCTGCAAAGCGAGGACCCCTGGGCCGTGCGTGGCAGGGGCTCCCGGGATCCCTGACTTCTGGGTGCACCTGACAGCGGGGAGAGGCCACGGAACTGCCCTCTGGCCTTTCCTGTCCCTGCCGAGTGTTTCTAACGGCTCCACAGAACCGCCAGAAATGGCCCTTGGGACCGCCCAGGCTCCTGCGGGTCACGGTCAGTGGCTGGCGGGCCAAACCCAAGTAAGCTCCGGGGCGGGAGTGGGCTGGGCAGTGAAGCGCAGGCACTCGAGCAGCTGTGACCAGGAGCGGGACAGTCCCCGCGGCCACGGAGCCTGGACAGCCAAGGGCGTGTCCCCCCGGGCCCCACCCACTCCACCCAGCTGCAGACAGAGCTACGCACCTGAGAACTCCCCTGGCGTGTCCAGCGAGGCACCGGAGGCGGGCGGGGAAGAAAGTGACAAAGGTCAGTTGGTGACTGGAACCAACAAAATAAAAACATTCTCATTGGAGGAAAAGCATCCACAACCCGGCCACTCCCGTGCTGGGAGGGTGAGAAAGGATGAGGACAGACTCCAGCAGCTCTGCGGTGACCTGGCCCACGGCAGGCGGAGACCCAGCGGAAGAGGGAGGCGGAGCAGCGCGTCCCTCAGCACCGGGGCCCAGAGCCCGCGGCCCACACTGGGGCTGGCACCGCGACCCCCACAGCTGCTCCTCAGCCCCCGCCCAGCCCAGGAGGCCTGTGCAGAGCAGGGTGTTTGGTGTGCGGGTGCAGCAGGTGACGAGGGTGTCCGGCCTCCAAGAAGCCTCTCCGGGCCGAGCGAGTGAGTGAGCGCGGTGGGAGGCGCCATCCGGGCCTGGAGCTAGACTCTCAGCAACCCTGGGAAGGGCATGACCGCGGGGGAAGGGTGACCAGAAGAGAAAAGGGGAGCGATGAGCCAGCTGTGCAAAAGTAAGTCAAAAGCAGAGAGGGGTGGTGGGGGCTGTGGGTGGCACGGCCGGCCCCACCGCGTTGGGCCTTGGCACGACACGGAGAGGCCGGCGGGGACACGGCCGTGAGTGGAGAAACGCCTCTTTCCCCAGCAGACTTGATGAAACGATTCTGTTCCCCGTGGCTCACTGCACACGGGAGGGAACGGGGAGTTAAAAAGTCACTTGACTTAAATGGCAACACGGGCGAGGGCTGTGGGACTCCCGGGGAAGTGCCCCGGCTCCGCGCAGCTGCCCCCTCTAGTGGCCACTCCCAGGCGGCCGCTGCTAACGCGCCACCTTCCCTGCTCAGACGCTTTCCAGGTAACCACAGTTCACCCTCCTGGGCGACAGTGTGCCATGGGACTCTTTCACGGCAAGGACTCACCGCCTCCTTCAATGCTCCGTGGCTTCCCTGCAGGACTGTCTCGTCCCTCGCGATGGCATTCGCTCCCCGTACGTACTTAGGGCATTTACAGATTGTGTGACCACAAGACACGGCCACACAGTGTCCCCACGGGAGGACCCATGAGCCTCCCAGCCCCAGGGGCGCGCCGCCCGCTGCCACCCCACGGCAGGCCCCACCAGCCCTGGCACGCAGGGCAGCCCCGCCTGTCCTCATTTTTGCCAATCTTTCAGGGAAAAAGAGTTTTCTCGATTTTCTCTTCATTTTCATTTCCTCATTATTCCTGGAGTTGAGCGTCCTTCCGTATGTGCTGGCATCTTCCGTGAAGTTCCTAGTTCATCCTCTGCCGTTTCCTAGTATATTAAATACTTGGTCTGTTTCCATTTTAATGACGTCACCATTTAATGACGTCCCAGCTACTTGGGAAACAGACAGGAGGATCGCTTGAGCCCAGGAGTTTGAGGTCAGGTTCGTCAGCATTTTCCTTACAGTTTTGGTCATGCAGAGAGGCCAAGACTGTGAAAATATTCTCCAATATTCTTTTCCAGTTCAATTGTCCTTGTGTCTTTATCCTTAGATCTTTAATCCACCAGGAAATTACTTCTGTTTATGGGGTGAGGTTGGATCAGACTTCATGTTATTCCCGTGGCTTCTCAACTAATCCAGTGGATTTACTGAATATTCCGCCCGTTGCCCACGGCTAGAAATGCCACACTTGTCACATGGACACCCCTCGGGCTCCAGGCCTGTCCTCAGGTCTTCCTGTGGGCCCAGTCTCTTGCTGTCCCCGTGTGCCTCGACCACCGCAGCTTACGGCTGCAGACCTGCAAGGCTGTGCTGTGAGCCTGTGCCGCGTCCAGTTTCCTGGGCTACTCCCACACGTTCATTCTTCTGGATAAACTTCAGAGTCCATTCATAGGCTGGGTGCTGTGGCCCATGCCTGTGATCCCAGCACTCTGGGGGGCCGAGACAGGAGCATCGCTTAAGGTCAGGAGTTTGAGACCAGCCTGAGCAAGAGCAAGACCCCGTCTCTACTAAAAATAGAAAAAATTAGCCGGGCATGGTGGCGCATGCCTGTAGTCCCAGCTACTTGGGAGGCTGAGGCAGGAGGATCGCTTGAGCCCAGGAGTTTGAGGTTGCTGTGAGCTAGGCTGACGCCACGGCACTCTACTCAAGACAATGGAGTGAGACCCTGTCTCAAATAATAATAATAAGAGTCCATTCATAAAGTTCCAGAAAAGCCCCTAGCAAGTCTGTGGGCATTTGCGGCACTGAATGGATTTATGTGGGAACCGTGGCCCGACCTGCGACGCTGCCATGCGTCACGGTTCTCTGCGTGCTTACGGCTTCTGTCGTGCCCTCCGGTGATGTGCTCTAATTCTCTGTACGAGGTTATTTCTAGACATTTTCCAGGTCCGGCTACGTGGCGGAACGTGTCCCGCGGGACCGCGGCCTGACTGGGGCGCAGCAACGCGGAATGAAGCTGATCGGGCTGTGTTGGGATTTCAGATTCCAGCCAAGCAACTCGGGGAAATAAGCTCAGCTTCTCTGAGCTTCGGTTTCCTCGTTTATAAACTGGAAACAACCTCCCGGCGTGTACTTTCTGTGAATTTCCCCCGGACGGTGCAGGTGAGCCGGCTGCTCCAGCACCTGCCACTCGCTGAGTGGGCAGAAGTAATAATGCCCTCACTCCCCAGTGATGTCTCTTCTGAGATGCAGATTTTTTCCTCACGTTAACAGTTCTGAAATTGCAGTGGGTCTCAATCACTGGCCTGTCGTAGTTTAATTTGCAGCAATTTTCTTTCTTGGACATTCTAAAATACCAGTGTGTCTTAAAACTGGGGTGTTTCAGATTCAGTGGGATATAATACACAGCCAACCAGTGCTCTACGGAACCGCCGATCCAGGTGCTAGACCTCGAGGACACCACTCTCCACCACGTACGACCACCCTCAGAAGTACCCGTCGCATCGCGCAGAGCACTCGTGTGTTTCTGAAATGACAGGATCTTCCCACTGTGCAAAACAGTCACAAAACCGTGACTGGAGATGTGCGTGTGGCCCCCAGCTCTTGCCTGCTCGGAAGCCACACCGGGGAGGTCGGGGTGTGTGGCTCAGGAACGGGCGCCGGCTCCTGTCACCAGCCCTTACCCCACTGAGCCAGATGCTGGGGACGCAGGTACCAGCTCGTCTCTCCGCCCAGTCCCAAGAGCAGGCTCCGCCCTTCCAACATCCCATCAACGGATGCCAACAGCAGTGAGCCCCTCCAGGACCCCCCAGGGCCGCTTGGCAGTCGCCCCCGAGCAAGGTCTCAAGCCACCCTAAGCCTGGGGGAGCCCAGGTGGCCCTGTCCTGCCGGGCGGGGCAGCTGAGTACGGCCCGCACAGCGGCTCCGTGGCTCCCAGTCCTCGCATGGTGGGAGGAACATCTGGGAACAGACACCCTCAGACGCGCCGTGTGAGATTTCTCCTGAAAAGACCAGGCTGGGCGCCACCTGGTCCAGTGAGCTGACCCCAGGAGCTCCATCAGACAGAGCCCCGCCCAGGGCCCCTGCCCTCTCCGACTGAGGGCAGTGACCCCTCTGTCATCACCAGCCCAGGCAGTGTGGCCTCCGGGCAAAGCTTTGAACGACAGTGTCCAGTCCTCTGCTGTCCCTCCCGTTGCCACTGACGGAGATCCTGTACGAAAGTGACCTCCGCGGCAGGGCTGCCTGGGTCAGCAGCTGGTCCCAAGGGCTCCCTGACAGTGATAGGGGAAGGTCAGAGGTGTGAGCCATCGTGCCCAGCCTGTATTTTTTATATATATTTTTGCAACACATGAGAAAAATTTCATTAAAACTATATACGGTTGGCTGGGCACAGTGGCTCACACCTATAATCCCAGCATTTGGGAGGCTGAGGCAGGAGGTTGCCTGAGCCCAGGAGTTTGAGGTTGCAGTGAGCTGTGATCGCACCACTGCACTCCAGCCCTGGTAGCAGAGAGACCCTGTCTCTCAAAAAAAAAAAAAAATGCACATATATATCTATATAAACACACACACACGCACACGCACACGCACAGCCAAAGTGGGCATCCGGTCCTCTTCCTGCTCTTACAGGGAGAACTTTCAGTCTCTCACCATCGAGTACGAATGCGCCTAACACTGCTGAACTGAATACTTAAAAATGGTTTAAGATGGTAAACTTCTATGTTATTTATATTTTACCACAATTTAAAAAATACGTACAGGCGTCTCCATGAAGGTCACCTAGGACCTCTATTGGCCACGTCTCACTTAGGCCTGGCCCAGACGAACTTCCGGCTGAGGTCTGAGGCAGCGCGGCTGCTGAACACCCTGCCCCAGCTAAGGCAACCCCTTGTGACAACACCAAGGGGCAGGACCTGGAGTCCAGAGAGCAAGGACGCGCCAGGCTGGAAAGGCCTATGTCCCTTTCCCTTAGTGGTGCTGGGACCTGCAGTGTCGGCGGGTGAGGGCCGGCCTGGCCGCTGGGGAAGGATCCGCAGTCCCAGACGGCAGAAGGGCATCTTTATCTGGCACTGGGAGTGACAGCGAGAGCCTGGCAGTCAGAACCGCAGGGCAAGCCGCGCCCCGAGGCAGGACGCGGAAACACTGGCCCCACCGTCATAGATCCCGGAAGTAGAACCACCGTCCCCCCAAAGACGCCCCTGGTACAGCGAAGGCGGCTGCCCTGGTTACAGCTGCGGCCGCCTCCAGATCAGGGAGAGGCGAGAAGCACCTTCCTGCAGCAGCCGCAAGGTCACTGACGGCCCAGTGGAGAGAGGGAGGTGGGGACGAAGGTGGCACCTGTGTCTGTGCGGCCTGAGTGGGCTGCGGGGCTGCAGCTCTTCCCCACCGCGGGGCTGTGGGCTCAGAACCCAGCCCGGCGCCCAAGGGGTGAGACTCGGCTGTCCCATTTCCTGCCTGCCACACCCCAGGCCACGGCCTGAGGCTCAGAGCCATGTGGCTGGTGTGCAGCTGCTGCAGACGCCACAGACACAGGGGCCTCCGTGCCGGCCGGACGGGCAGTGCTGTCTATACCTGCATCAGACTTGGCACAGAGGGTTCCAGTGTAGACCTGAGATGCTGAGGACTGGGGGGACAGGGAGGCTGCTGTGCATTTTTCTCAAGGCACAGAGGAGCTGGTCGCTCCCCCAACCTCCCTAGAAAGTAGATGGCCCTGGGAGGGGGCTCAGGGAGGGCCGAGGGCGAGTGCTAGTGACACGGGTTTCTTTTTGGGATGATGAAATCTTCCGAACTCAGTGCTGATGGCTGCACAACCTTACGAGTTTACTAAAACCCACGAACTGTACACTTGAAGGGGGTGAACTTTACGGTACGGCTGGCCCTCCTCACCCACGGGTTCCACACGAGTGGATCCAACCAACCTCCGGCTGAAACGTAGTTAGGCCGACGACGGCGGTGTCTGCACCGACCGTGCAGGGGCTTTTTTCCTTGTTCTTCCCCAAACACCGTGCCGTGACTATTTGCACAGCGTCCACAGCGCGTCGGGCGCTGCGAGAGATTCAGAGACGACCGAAGCCGCGAAGGGCGTGCGGAGGTCACGCGCGAACACTGCACCATTGCACGCCGCGGACCTGAGCGTACCGGACTCTGGTGTCCCTGGGGGAGGGGCTGGGTGGTGTCCAGGAACCACTTCCCCGCGGACACCGAGGACGACTGCGCGTGGAGCCCGTGTCACTGACATCGTGAGAGCAGAGCTCCCAGCCACGGCGGACATTACAAGCGCAGCCCGCACAGAAAGCCCCGCCCTGCGGTCGCCGCGGGGACGGCTGCTTTACCTAGGAGGTCGGCCCCTTCGTCCACGTCCCCGATGACCTCGGAGCCTGCCGTCGACAGCTCGTGGTACAGCGAGTCGGTGTTGATGCCAAAAGCTTTGTTCACGATCCCCTGAGTCGGGCTGTCAGGACACACGGGCCAGGAGAGCAGAGTCAGGCACCTTCGCTGTGGCGTCTCCAGGCCCTTCCGGCACCTCGGGGCACAGCCGCTCGACACCGACACTGCGGCCGGTGTGGGCGTGGATGGGGACGGTGGGAGGCACCTGATGCTCCCCCCAGGAGAGGCTGCGGGGGCTTCAGCAAGGCCACCAACTTGGGCGAACTCTGAGCCCCCGGACCCCGGGGCATGGGCCGAGTACCTGCTTCCTGTGCGGTCCAGGCGGGTCTCTGGACACATGTCCAGCTCTGGAGTGGAGTCGATAATGTCCTGGACGTCGGACCACTCGTCGCTGCTGCCCATGCCTGGGGAGAGCCATTGGGGCCTGCGGTCAGGAGGGTCCAGCAATCCCCGCCCTGTTCACAGGACCCTCGGGCTAGACCACCCGCTGGGCAGGGATCACTAGAGACGGGGTCTCCCACGCTGGCTGGGTGGGAGTCTGGGGAGAGAGGGCCGTAGCGGTCTCCCTGCACGGGGTGCTCAGCCGCTCGCCGAGCCCCGGAGATCCGTGTCCACGTCAGCTGTGGACGGCTCCTTTTCGTGATGGAATCTGAACGGGCCGAATATCACTTTTATCTTTCTCTTACTAGACTGTGTGCTGCTGGGTGAGGGGCGTCTACCGTGCCGCGCTGAGCTGTGTCCCCCAAATCCCTACGTTGATGGACACCCCCGTGCAACTGTGCTTGGAGATGGGGCCTTTAAAGAAGCGGTTCAGGTAAAACAAGGTCACGGGGTGGCCCTAATCCAATCTGACGGGTGTCCTCATAAGAAAAGATGGGGACACAGATCTGGAGGACAGCCCTGTGAGGACACAAGCCAAGGAGTGAGGCCCCCGAGGAACCAGCCTGCGACACCCCGACCTTGGACATCAGCCCCGGGCAGTGAGGAAATACGTTTCTGCCGCCTACGTCGTCCGGCCTGTGGCCTCTGTGACGGTGGCCCGAGGACGCCACTGCTTCCGCCCAAGCTAAAGCCTGAACAGGCAAGAGAAACCTCCCCGGCTGTGGGCCAGACGGGTCAGAGCGTGGGGACGCCGGGGCTGCGCACCTATGCTGACGTTGCGCATCTCCTGGGCGACCTGGACCTCCATGTTGCGGCTGTTGCGCTTCTCCCGGGCGCGCTTGCCGTTCTTGCTGCTGCCCCCGTAGCCGCCCAGGGGCTGCGTGCTCTCGTTGAGGGGCGTGACCGCGGCTGAGGGCACGGAGGACGTGGGCGTGTTGGACTTGGTGCCCGTGGTGCTGGGCGTGGCGGCTGCCGAGGACTGGCCCGACTCGGACATCTCATCCTGCGGACACTAGGGCCAAACACAGGGGGCAGGGAGAACAAGTCACGGGGTTGCCACGCCCGCAGCACCTGCGTGGCCGCCCGAGGCCCCGGCCCTCCACCGCTGGCCGCTCCGCCGCAGTCAGCGGCACCCGCCTGCTCTGCAGGGCCGGAGTCCCCCTGCTGCCCCCGCTGGTTCTCTCCATGCCAGTCTCTCCCGAGCAGTTCTCGCACCTGGTCACTGCCTCCAGCTGCCACCTCCGGCTCCCCAGAAGCAGGGCACCTTACTTGGAGGGTTTGGGACGGGCTTTGGGCACACGCCCCCACAGCACAGTCCACCAAAGCCTCGCGGGATGGGCGTGACGCTACCCGGAGGACGCGGCAGGCAACCCTTTGCAGCTGGTGATGGGTCAAAAACAAGCCGCAGCCCAGGGCAGGGTAAAGAGCTCTAAACGGGGACCCAGGGAAGAGGCCGACCAGTCTGCAGCCCCTGTCTGATCACGTTATCGCTGTGTGGTCCCACCCGCCCTGTTGTCGCTGCCAGGAGACCCCTGCTCAGCCCCGGCTCAAGTCAGGGGCTGGGGAGGGACCGTGCAGTGTGCGACCCCACGGATCACCTGGACCAGCATTCAGCCCCGGACGCCAAGGCCAGTGTGACAAACTGAAATTCCACTTTCATAGAATGGACTGGCGCCAAATATTCCCGGGCGGGTGGGAAGCCCAGATTATTAAAAACTGCAATCACCTGTTTACCTTAATAATATCACTGGGGATGAACACTTTTTTTTTTTGAGACAGAGTCTTGCTCTGTCACCCTGGGTAGAGTGCCGTGGCGTCAGCCTAGCTCACAGCAGCCTCAAACTCCTAGGGCTCAAGGGATCCTCCTGCCTCAGCTTCCCAAGAAGTTGGTACTACCTTGGCCACCACACTTGGCTAATTTTCTATTTTTAGTAGAGATGGGGTCTTGTTCTTGATCTTGCCCAGGCTGGTCTCGAACTCCTGAGCTCAAGCGATCCTCCTGCCTTGGCCTCCTAGAGTGCTGGGATTACAGGCACGAGCCACCACGCCCGGCCAGGAACTCTTTAAAAAAATTTCTTTTAATTCTGTCTTCATAGAGACTGTCAAAAATTGCCAGTGCTGATCATATCGCAAGTTGTCATGGCAGAGTATGGGGAAAAGTCCTGTCAGCAATAATCGTGCCTCGGATAAACCTCACTGGCCACTGTGCAGAGCTCAGGGAGGACGAGTCCCATTTGGACAACATAAGACACGAACAGACACATCCTTTTCCTATGGTCTTTCCTGATGAAAGTGTTGGACAATCTCAAGAAACACGGCTGCCCACTCAACAACTCTTCTGTCACCCAATCCTGACAACTCCCAAACGGCCCTGAGCAGGCGCCTGGCCCTCCTGGACAGCACCTGCCCGGCCGCTGACAAGAGAGGGGCGTCCAGCCCTCTCCCCAGCGGGGGGACACTGGACCGACCTACACGCCTTACTGAGCAGGGCGGACGGGGCTCCCGGAAGCCACAGCAGCTCTGAGATCTGAGGTTCGCTGACCCTTCGGGTCCCCACCAGGCTGGGCACGGCTACTTGTTCAAAGGCCAGACTTCTAGCTTCATCTACCAGGCTCCTACATTTCTCTACAAGAATCTCGAAATGACACATCTTCCTCTACAGCAGCAGTTCCCAGCTGGGGGTGCTTCTGTTCCCAGGGGACGCTTGGCAAAGTCCAGAGACATTTCCGGTTGTCGCAGCTGGAGAAGGGGTGCTGTCGGCAGCGAGGGATGGAGGCCCGAGACTCGGTTCGACACCCTGTGGCACCTGGGACACCCACAGCCAAGCACGCCCCAGCCCCGCATGTCACCTACACCAAGGTGACAGCCCTCACACCACACGTATCCGCCTCCCTGGAAGTGGCTCTGCGTGAACATCTTGGACTTGGATTCCGGCTCTACGGCTTATGCTCATTTGAGAAGAGAAAAAAGCTACCCTCTTCTTACCACCACCAAAGCCAGAAGTGAGCGTCACTTGCACTTAGAGTCCTTGTGATGAAGTTCTCAAAGAACCTCGCCTGCGCCACGCATCAGAGGCACCCGGGTGCTCCAATGGGAGGGACCCTCTGCCGCCACCCAGCAGAGGGAGACAGGAGCCGCACGCAGGCCGGGCATGGAGCAGGTGTGTGGCCCAGACTCACGCTGCCGGCCCACCGCCCTCACGGCCTGTGCCAGCCAATTCACGACCCTCGTGACGGGGGCAGGTCTGTGGTCTGACCGCAGCCCCCAGGTCCCCCTAGCTGTCTGTCACCCTGCGGGGCCACCACTTACCCACGGGACACTCCCCCTGGCCACAACTTACCTAAAGGCAAACCTCTCAACCTCCTAAACATCAACGTGTAGCAGTGACCTCCAAATGCATTGCAAAGAACCCAAACTCTTAGCGGTCATTCCTCACCATGAGTAGCCACAACTGTTTGGTTAAAACACTGAAAATACAGTACATAAAAACAAAAAACAAAACAAAACAAAAAAACAACAAAAAATTAAGAAATTAGAAAAACTTTAAAACCTAGAGCATAAAATAAAAAGAACTTAAATGCAATTATTTTAAAAAAAGAAAAATCAAATAAAATACACCTGTGAACTAAGACAAAACAATACAATTTACGAAGAGAAAGACTATCCCAGACAAGGCAGGAGGTGAAGAAAAGAGTCCTGAAAGAACAGCGTCCAGGCGTGCGCGCGGGGAGCGTCCGGGCCGCAGGGGTCCGAGAGGGTCCCTGAGGCTCGTGTGCTCCCAGCCACAGCCCCGCGTCTGAGCCTTGAGACTGGCCGGGCCAGGCCCACAGGGCCGCACAGGCCTCCCGCCTCCTCCCGGCGCACAGGGCAGGACCGTCCAGAACGGGGGTGAGCGCCCCGAGAGCCGCCGAGACCTGTGACCCCCCGCACAAGCGCAGAGGGGGCGCCCTTTCTGACAGAGCTGCTGCAGGCAGGCTGGACACTTAGAGGAGGAAGGACAGTCGGCAAAGAGCTGCAGCAGGAAGGAAGCTTCCAGAGAAGCCCCAAGCCCCGGACCCCACACCCACCAGCCCAATCAAGCCCAGAGGCCCGGCGCTTTGCCTCGTGGCCGTCCTCCGCCGGGCTCCGCGGGACTCCACCCCGCAGGGCAGCGACCCTTACCTGGCAGTGCGCCCGAAACCGCCCACCTTGGCCAGTGTGAGCTCACAGGTCAAAACCAGCGGCAAGGGACCTGGGTCCTGACAAGTGACCTGGCTTCCCGGGGACCCCACATTCCGGGTGTGCTCCCTGGGCGGCTGTGCATATCCTGGGGGGCGCCTGTCTTCTCACACTCAGAGACCGAGATGGGACCAGGGACAAGCGGGGAGGAGCCGCTACCTCCTTGCCTTGGGCTGTCTCCTGGCTGAAGTGCAAACCTGACTCTAGACACTTGTCCTCTCAGGATTTGTGAATGCATTTTGTCTGGGGCCGCTCTGAGGTGAGGCTGGTATTTTGGGGTGTGGCTTGGCGGATGGTCACTAAGCTCAGCCCTGATAGACGCTGGACCCCACTGGGGGCTACAGAGTGGCCTATCCAAGCAGCAGAGAGGTCTGCCTGGTAGGAGGTGCCAAAGCAGGGCCTGCTCCGTAGCCGCAGCCTCCTGACCTCCCAGTTTGGTTTCTCTGTTTCCGCCCAGGGAGAGGGTGGAGGGGTGTCTGCAAAGGGGCTTCTGCCTGAGTGGACGCGGGCGCCAGCGACGGGAGGAGACCCTCACTCCGCAGCACGGCTACAAAACCTGGTAGCTGGAGCTGGACTGCAGCTGGCCGAGGTCGCTCAGGTGCCAGTGGTCCCCCGCAGGCACGAGCTTGCCCCCCATCTGTGCACGTACCATGCCGTCCGCCAGGGGGAAGACGTTGAGGGAGGTGGGGCGCTCCTTCCTGCTGCAGTGGGAGGGGAGGAGAGGGAGCAGCTGTTAGACGCGGCTGTGAAAGAGAGCTGAGCCCCCCTGCGCGCGGACGCCCACACGCGCGAGTCCCTGCTCATCCACGCTCCCACGTAGCGCCACCCTCCCGTCATGCTCCAGTCACTGCTTGTATCAGCTGAGGTCTAAACAGGCCGCGCGTTGCTGGGAGATGGCGCGGCAGGCCAGCGACGGGGCTGCGGGCTCCCGGCCGCAACCAGGTGTCTGCGCAGCGACTTTCCCGACGCTGGTCTTTCTCACGCCGCGCCCAGCCCTGCCTCCGGCGAGGCTCCCGTCAGCCCCGCTCTGACTGCAGGGGCCAGGAGGGAATCGACCCTCCCCAGGTCTCGTCCCTCGTCCCCCTCCTGCCCCCAGTCCTTTTCTGTTTCTCCACGAGGCCTTTGCATCGCAAAATGTTTGAACAAGACGGGTCCAGAGTAAAGAGCGTGCCCGCGTCTGCTGGTGCCCAAGAGGCACTTCTCGTCCTTCCCAGCTGTCGCGGTGCTGACACCGAGGACAGACCCGCTGACGCTGACGGCCCAGCTGGGAAGGGGAGTGTCCGGGAGACAGGTTGGAAGAGCTCGGCCCCCGGGTAAGGCCTTCTGTGGGCTGCGAATATGGGGGACAGAGGCCGAGTCCTCACTCCACGTCCTCCTCTGTCGGAGGCTTTGAATCGGGTGGGCCCAGACGACAGAGGCCAGGTGGGCTCCCTGACCTCCCCGAGTTGGGGGGCAGATCTCGCTGGAGCCCACTGCCTGGCGCTGGTTAGCCAAGAGTGAGCGGGCTCCTGCCACAGCCTGAGCTGCGACGCCAGCCCCAGGCACTGTGGGAGGGTGTTCCTTGGGGATGAGGATGACGAAGGGGGGAGGGAGCACGGTGGCCACTGACTCTAGTGCACACGGCTGCATGGGCGGCTTTAGGAACCGTGCTTCTGGGGCACGAGCAGTTCTGGGGACTGGCCGGCTGGTCTGTCCTGCTCAGGACGGTGCTGTCACCTGCAGGGTGAGGGTCCCTGGGCCCGCCGGGACCTGGCAGTGCCGTCTCAGCGGCTGGTCCGTGGCGGGGACAGAGCCAGAGGAGCAGTGTGCTCCGTGGGGGCTGTGAGGATGCGCGGGCCGAGGCCACCCAGAGGGTGGTTTCCTGCGGGTGACCTCACGTGCGCAGAGGAGGTGGCCACCCTGAGACACGTCTCAGCTGCCACTTTGAACAGCTGAATAAACTCGGATCCTGAGGAAGGATGGCGGTGTCGGGAAGCTGCGTATCTACCGACACGCTCAGCCGCCCCACGGCTCAGCCCTCGCTCCAGCTGCTCTCTGACCAAGGCCGCCGGCCACCCGGCACGGTGAGCACGGCCCCTGTGGGGGCCTCGGCCGCCCTGTCTGCTTGGGGCTCCCAGGTGTGGCGACGCCTCTCCTGGGTCTGCCCCCGCCCGGCACTTGCACGCACAACCCCAGTGAGAGCACACAGTGGGTCCCTGGACACAGGCTGGTGCAGTCTTGGCTGTCACCAGACGCTTTGGTGGGACAGCAGGGAGCACAGCGGGGCGAGGGAGCGCTCTCACAGACCCCCTGCCCCGCCCCGCCCCTGCTTCCACAGCCCGGCGCCGGACACTGCACCGCACTCAGCCAGGCCGCTGCCTCCGCCGGAAATCTACTCGTAGGCAGAAACGTCGCCTTCCCCTCGCGCCTCCCCGCAGAATCCCGCGTGGCTGGTCTCCAGCCCTGTGAGCACCCAGGCAGACGACTGCCCGGCCGTGCGAGCTGGAGAAGCTGGTCCTCTCAGTCCGTCCTCGCTACTTTCGCGGGGGACACGCGCGCCCCTCCCCTTCAGAGACCCTTGCCCTGGGGGGGGGGTCATGCCACCCATGCGGGTCACCACCACGCTGCCCGCAGGGGTCACACTCCCCGGGTGGGGCACAGTCACGCCACCCGCTCTGGGTGCAGAGCTCCTAAGAGGCCACGCGCTGGGCGTGAGTCCAGGTGTGGCCGGTGTGGGCGGAGGGCCTCTGCGCCTCACGCCTGGGTTGCGCCATGATTTCCCGTCTGTGACCGGGACAGGCGCGAGCTGCGTGAGCGGAGAACCAGCCGGGCCTGGACAGAGCAGGGAGGGCCTGCGCTGCTGCCCCACTCTGGCTGAGCCAGGACCTTCCGCCCAGTCTGCCACCTCCCTGGTGCCGCCCCCGTAAGCGCCGATGGCACACACTGCTGATCTGCGGCATCAGCTGCACAGAATATCCTGCCTTGCTTGGGCTAAGGAACCACCGTGTGCTCATGATTGAAGCGATCCGCCAGCCCGCTTTCACCCTGGGACGACCCACGCCCGCGGCGATGCCCACCGACGCCCAGGCACCGTGTGGCTTTACCTTTTCCTCCACGACTGGCGAGGACTGCAGGGCAGCGACAGACACAATGGCCAGCACGCAGCAGCGACAGCACGAGGGCAAGACAGGAAGACAGCCATTAGAGGGCACAGTAGGACACGCGTGCACACTCACGCTGACGTGTGTGACGGTGGCAAGACACCTGGGCCCAGCCTGTGCCCCTATGCAAATGGACAGAGGTTACACGCAGATGTCTACAGCGACACGTGACACAAACGTTCTGGGCTTCGACAAGAGGCCTTTGACGCGGGCTGTGGGGCAGGTCGGCAAGTGACATACATCCCTAGTGCAGGGTGGCGGGCAAATGTCCCCTCAGCGCCCAGCACACGTGTGCACACGGCATGCAGGTGACAACACACACACGGCCACACAGAGACACACACGTGCTCCTGCCCACATGAACTCTGCGGAGCGATGGCCCCACGCTAACCGGTCTACACAGAGACACAGACTCAGCCAGGCCGGGAGTGAAGGCAACGCCTGTCCGGGTGCGGGAGCGTCGGCCGCTCGGCGCTGAGCACACCCTCAAGGCCCTCCCGGGAGACGGGGCTCTGGGCTAAGTGAATGGGACAGGCTTAAATATCTGTCCCCCAGCGATGAGAGGCTGTGGCAGGCAGAGCGAGCTGGCTCTGGCCAGGATGGCAGGGAGGCTCCTTCCCGCTGCTGCCCACGGCCGCAGTGCAGATCGTGAAGGAGCCGGCGCCCCCCGCGCCCTACGCAGTCTGAACTCGGGACAACGAAAGGGCTGCGCCTCCCGCGTTTCAACCAGCTCTTCCCTTCGGAGGCGAGCGCGGTGGCTGCCCCGTCTGGCGCAGGCGGCAGGCAGGCACGTGCGCCCCGCTCATCTCGTTCCAGCCGGGAAGGCACGGCCCGCGGCGGCGACTGCAGCTGCAGTAACAGGCGCCGGGTCCGGGGCAGGTGACGAGGCCCAGTGCACGTTCTGGCCACAGCCAAGCCACCGCGCGCAGGAAGACGGTGGCTGCCAGCCCTGCTGTGGTTCTGACACGCCGTGGCGACTGTGGCTCGGGAAAGTCTGTTGACAGAGCTACTGGGGCCTAGGGACCCAAGTGACCCAGCTGCCCCACCCGGGCTCGCAGCGATCTGGAGGATTAGCCTGCAGCGACCAAGGCTTCGGTGCCGGTCTGGACAAAGCCCTTTCCTCTCCTGGACAGGCTGGGGGTCCCGTCTCATGCACTCCTGGGGGCAGCCCCCGCTGGGCGGCCACTGCAGCCACGTCACTCTTGCTGGTGGCCCCGAGGTCCCATGTGTGCAGGGGAGGTGAGTGCCTGAGGCCAGGCAGCAACACGGACAGAAGACCCCACAGACCCATCCCTTGCACAACAGGCTGGGGGTTCTGACCATGGAGGCTTCAGGAGTGGCCGCGTAGTTGCAGGGGGACCCCGCGAGCCCGTGCGTGGCCCAGAGTCCTGATGAGGAGAGGTGGCACCAGCACGGGGGTGGGGGCTGCCCTGAGCGGGGAGCTGCGTCCCACAGGCCCGTCTGACGCTCAGGACTGGACGAAACCGAGGTGCTGGGCTGTGCTCGCCGCGGACCCTGCTCAGGCCCTGCCTCGCCTCACGATGGAGCCCCCGCGGGGGTCTGCGGGCCTGGCCTGGCCCACGGTGACGGCCAGAACCTTCAGGGGCTGGCTGAGCCCACATGGCCTGGAGGTTCCGAGGGCGTCTGTTTACGGAGTGTCCGTGGGGCCTGGGGTCCTGACCACCGCGACCCAGGACAGGCGCTCTCGGCCTGCAGTCCCGATGCAGACATCACGTCTCCCAGGTGCTCGCTGTCCCGGGCTCCTGCACGCGGGCTGGCGGGTGCTGCAGCTCTCAGGCGCCGGCCATGCCGCTGCCCTGGCCCGACTCAGATTGCTCCGTTCGGGCCCCACAGAAACAACGGCACGACCCCAACTCCAGGTTAGATCTTATTCGTCACTTGGAGATCCTCGTGCTGACTTCTGAGTGCCCTGCTCGGTGCACGTCAGCAAGTGGCTGCGGAGACTTCGACGGTTTACCAGGCTCCTCGCTCAGTTCTCACCGTGCTCCGGGGACTGGCACGCGCTGCGCGGCGGCCGTCGCGGCTGTCGACTCCATGTGCGGCTACGGGCAGAGGCCATGTCGGAGCTGCCAGCTCCTTGCCCCCAGGCTGCCGGGCCTTCCTCACCCTGCGCGTGCGGTTTTCGGAAGACTGAAGCACCGAATCTGCCGCGCTGCCCACGGTTTCCCAGAAAGGGACTGATGTGGCCCCGAGTTGAACATCCTGAACCTTCTCGTTTGCAGACACAGCCACAGACCAGGCAGGCATGAGGGAAACCGCGTGTGGCGTCACCGGAGGCTCTCCCCGGCAGGAACCAGGTGCCACGACTCAGCGGCGTGGCCCAGCTCCGTGGGCTGCGGATGGGACGGAGACTGGGAACGTCAGTCCTCGGCCCAGGACGCTGCCTCCTCGGGTTCCCTCCGGCCAGCGCCCTCGGGCTGCTGACACCCTGGACGAGCCCTTTGCCGTTCCGCTCCCGGGGCCCGTGGTCCAGCGTCGTCTCCACTCCGAGGGCACAGAGTGCAGAGGGAACCCGACCTCACAGGCTTCTCCTGCCACCCGAGCGGCACCAGCACCGAGCCCTGAACTCGGGCTGAGCAAGGGCCCGGAAATCCGCAGGCCTCGCCCGGCCCTGCACACACAGCTGGCCGGTCGAGGTAGCATGTTCTAGAAAGTCACCTCAAACCCTGCATCAGTGAACACTAAAGCGCTGCCCTTACAGGAGGTATGTACACGTCCAGGTACGTATTTCCCATCGATTGTAATCTTAAATCCTAAAAACATCTCACCCTGGTCCACTCTATTTTCTTTATTTTTCAAAAGAGGAAGCGAGGTCTGAAGTACGGGTGCCTGGCCCAAGGCCACCCAGCAGACGGGTGCCCCGGTAGGGCTTCAAGCCCATTTAACGGTCCTGAGTCCCGGCTTCCCCCGCAACTCTCCGCCCCGGCATCCGGGACGAGGCTCAGGACAGGCCAGGCGTCGCCTCGTCCCGCCTCAAACCTCGCCCCGCCCTGTGCGCGTCAGCCGTGACTGCGGAGAGCCCTGCGCTGGCTCTGAGGTTACAAATGCCTTTCGGCCAGTCGGCCAGCTCACAAACGTGGGTCCACGAACAACGAGGATCGACAGTGAGAGTCTCCCTGAGGGTGACTGCGCTGGGGCCACACGCGCTTCCCCACACTCCCGCCCAGCGCACGCCCACCAGGCCCCCCGAGCCAGCGGGACCGGCCCTCCTACCTCCTCCCGGGCAGGCTGCTCTCCGTCTGGCCGCTGCCGCCGACCTGCTGCATCTTGGCCCTCTCGATGTGCTCCACGTAGGTCTGGATCATCTGCGGGAAGCGACCTCCGCGTGGGCACGCGCTGCCGCTGCGCCTCGCCCGCCCCCCACCCCCAGCCCCTGCCTGCCGGGGTTCTGACAGAACAAGGACCAAGTCGGGGGGTCCGACTGGCACAGGGCCGACAGCTTTCCTGTCTGGCAGCAAAATGCCCGAAAAAGAAAACACTAGAAGAAGCAACCAGAGGTCAGCGGCAGGTCGCAGGAGTGGGGCTGCGGCCCACCCTTGTGCCCTCTCCACGCCGGCCTCTGGGTGCGAGGCCCGCCCTCCGAGGCACCCACCTCCGTGTGCCGCTGGTGCAGGGCGTTGTATTCCTTCTTCATCTCCGACTCGCGCTCCTCCAGCCGGGAAACTGGAAAACACAACGGATGCGCGTCAGCCACGCAGCTGTTCGTGGCCCCACACTCCTCGGGTCGCACCCGCGGGGGACAAGGCCCAAACCCCGATGCCTGGTGACCCTTCTGGGGCAATGGGAAGCAGACTCTGGCTCGGCTGGCCTGGGTGGCACCCTGCGTGCGCCGCACTGCCGGACAGTGTCCAGCTCTGCCACGAAGAGGAACAGGACGCGGAAACTCACACCAGCGAGCTGTGCTCAGGTCAGCTGGGAGCTTCGGACACGTGGGCAAAATTCACAGTGCCAAGGACAGCTAAGATGTGAGCAAGAAGCGCATGGAAAGAGGCAGGCTTCAAAGTGAGTAGCGTCTGAGACGCGTCAAAGGGCAACAGAACGCTGGAAGCAATGGCAGAACTGCCGCGTCACGACCATGCCCCCTTGGGCCGACAGCCGTGTCTCCCCTGCATGTGCTCTGCCCAAGGACACGGGCCCGTCCCCTGCTGGCCCTGCCCTCAGCGCATAGCCCCCCAGTCTTCCGCAGCTTCCTGGCGTCTATTCTAAACTGATTTAACAAATCACATGGCTCAACGTCCCACTCCGCCTACACGCTCTCCTGCTCCAGGGCCTGGCGTGCGGCTGGCCTAGCAGAGTCCTCGGACCCTGTCGCTGCCCGCCCGAGCATCTGCATCCACCACGCTCCCAGGTGACACGCTGGTGTGCAGACCCCACTCTGAGGAGCAACGTGGGTGTCAGAGTCAGTTTGATCTTCCCATGAGGAGCCTGAGTGGTCACAGACAGCAGCACACAACATGCATGACTTATAGACACGGCACACAACACACACGTGGCCACCAGAGGAGAGAGCAGATGACCCATCCCACGTGTGTCCTGACCCGGCCCCTGTTCCGCTCCAGCAGGGGCTGCCCGACCGTGCATCTGTCCCTGGAGAGGACTGTGCAGCCGCCGCCTGGTCCTCTCTCCACTGCCCCACCCTGGTGTGCACCAAATGAGTAACTTCAGCCTGTAGTTTGGGTTTGTATTTTTTTCCTTCTAAGAAAAGAGCTGAAAAGGTTCATACACGAAACGTGTTCGAAGCAAAGGGAACGTTAAAGGTTCTGTATAATCACAGAGAGGGTTTATCTGCGCCTGTTTAACGGGCCGTTCGGCAGGAGCGCTTATGTGCGTTCACAGCCGTGGGCCCTGCGGTTGCTGCCGACCCTCAGGCTCGTCAGCAGGTCAGCGTGAGCACGGTGGCCCTGCAGTCTTGGTTGGGGAGGGGACAGGCCCAACATATCGAAACATTTTTTTCCCCGACTTGATCCTAACTGTTCTGAGAAGTGCTGGCACCTGCCGTCCAAGGCAACTAGGCAAAGCGGCAAATAGGTCTCCGTCATCAGAACGTCTAATTACAGGAAACCAAGTGACACAGGTCGTCATGACACCGACAGTGCGGTTTAAACAGAGACTTTTGGAAACTGAAACAACCGTTCCTATAATAATAACAGAAAGCCCCGTTCTCCGCCTGGCCTTGCAGGGGACGGGCTCTCCTGCAGACCCCCTGGTCGCCATGAGCCTGTCTGGGAAGTGCCAGCCCAGGCAGCCATCTCTCCTCCGCATCACCAGGCGGTGAGCCCAGGGCAGCAGGAAGCTGTTCTACAGGCCACAGAAGGACCTAAAGGACTATGTACTGGAGATTTGGGGCCAGATTACAGCGTGAAGCGTAAGTGCCGTGTGATCAAAGGGGCCTTGTTTATTGATTTGTATTTCTGCGGGGGAGGTGAGGCTGACGGCAGAAATGCACAGCAGCGCAGAGAGAGAACAGTGGCCGACGGAATCTAGGTGAAAACAAAGTAAGACTATCATTGGGTTTTCTCTAATCTCTCTTCGTCAAAGGCTCTCAACGTCCTTCCCAGCCCGCCCGTCTCGGGACAACACACACTCGGACGCGGTTCCGTCTCTCCGCACTACTTACTCTGATCCGCGTAGTTCTTGGCCTTCAGCTCCAGCTGGCGTGTCTGGAACTCGTAGTGCTCCACCTGAATTTGCAGCTCTTTCTTTTCCTGTTCCAAGGCATCTTCAAACTCGATGAATTTCTACACGTGGAGGAGAGAAAAGGAGCAGGTGCCATGAGTGGGTCACAGCCGCCCCGCAGGGTAAGAGCCACGGGTTGTCTCTGGGGCCTGGGGCTGGCCGGTGGTGGGGCTCGAACAGGGGGGTCTCCACTTCCGACCCTGCTTCCCGCCACGTGGCAGTGCCTGCCCTGCGCCCGGGACGAGGGCAAGCCCAGCCCTCCAGGACTGAGTCGCTCTGCACCCTCCCCTCCAGCGGTGGTATCTGCAAGCCCCGTCCAGTAAGAATCTCTGACCAAAGCCACCGCTACGCATGTGCGGGATTCCGGCGTCGCTCAGGGTCTCGCCGGGTGCCACACTCAGGTCCACGCTTGCTCTAACGCTCTGCTGCTGTGGTCTAGACATTCGTAGTACTTTTGAACACAGGGCGCCCGCATTTCCATGCCTGCACTGGGCCCCAGGGATCGCGTAGCTGGTCCTGTTTGCAACAGAGGAGCACACTCCTCTCCACTGACCCTCTGAGCACGGTCAGGTCTACCGTTCCGCACCTCGGGCACGGCCTGGCTCAGGACACCGTCGCTGCCGTAGTACCTGGCAGCACAAGTCTTGCTCCCAGCCCTTCAGAAAAGCAGACGGATCGCTCTAGGTTTGGAATCTGAACCTTGCACAGTAAGTTCAAGCAGAATTATTATCAAACCCGGTGACAGGAAAGCACTTTGCAAAATAAAAGAAGCTCCCGAGAGGTCTGAAGAGCAGAGGTGCCACTGAGGCCCGCCACGCTGCGAGGCTAATTCCCACAGCAGCCCTGAGGGGGCGCTGTTAACACCGCGAGTTTACTGAGTAGAAAATGGGGAAATATTATCAAGAAACTTCATTTGCAGGAAGCATCAATATCAGCTGGGTTCTTAGGACATAACGAGTTTCTCAGAAGATGGTTATATAAAACCGATGGCTCGTTTCGGGTTTGGGGCATCTGTAAGAGCAGGTTCATCGGTGGTGGCCACAGCTGTGTTTCCCATAATAACTCCACCCAGTCCCCCCACCCAAGGATAACAGGCCCCCAGACGCTTCTTCCCACAGCAGCTTCTAAAAAGGTCTTTGTGCTGGAAACCACTGGGGCTCCTGCCCAAAGCATGACTCATCTGCAGGATGGGGAGGGTGGAAACCCCAGGAGAGGCGGGGCGGGCGGGCGGGCAGGGGAGAGGGGCAGCAGCAGGGCTGCATCAAGGCCAGCACAGGAACCTATGGAAATGCAAAAAGCAAACAGCCCACAGCCAGGAAAATGCACATGTTTTGTGCAGCCATACGAAAAAAAGTAAGTGTTTTTTTTTTTTGAGACAGAGTCTGGCTCTGTTGCCCCGGCTAGAGTGCCGTGTCTTCATCCTAGCTCACTGCAACCTCAGACTCCTGGGCTCAAGTTATCCTTCTGCCTCAGCCTCCCGAGTAGCTGGGACTACAGGCATGTGCCACCATGCCTGGCTAATTTTTTCTATATATTTTTAGTTGTCCAGATAATTTCTTTCTATTTTTAGTAGAGACAGGGTCTCGCTCTTGCTCAGGCTGGTCTTGAACTCCCGATCTTGAGCAATCCACCCGCCTTGGCCTCCCAGAGTGCTAGGATTACAGGCGTGAGCCACCGCGCCCGGCCAGTGTTTTTGAATTAGCTGTGGATACAACAGCATATGAAGAACAAATAAATGCTGCCGACTGATAAGGATATTTTTTAATAGGGTAATTTTAATTCTCATTACTTAAAATATGAAAAACGGCAAAAAGGGATTCGAGGAGAGGAATATTTCTTAAAAACTGCAAGGCTACCATCTAGAGAGTCAGTTAAACCTGTCTGCTGTTCTTCCCGGTCTGTGTGAGTGGAGGGCACACGTGCGACCATCGTGTGCCCAGCATTCCGTGACCTGGCTCAGCCGCTCGTCTATGCTGGACGTGTCTCCGCAGCAGCGACGGATCCGCTTCCGCTGCTGACAGGTGCCCGTGAGCACGTGCAGAGCACGCGTGGCCGGCTCCAAGGTTGCTCCAGATGCTCCTCAGTGCCGGCTGTGTGCACACACCTGAGCACCTGTCTGCTGGCTCCCTGCTCTCCCAGGTTGTGGCCGCACCCGCTACCTGGCTCTTCAGAGGGTGTCCCGACCCACCACCCCCCACCCCCCGGCACCTCGTGGACGCGCCCTTTCCCAGGACTCTTGTCGTTTCCGCATGCGGCTCAACGATGTCACAGACAACCCCACAGTGGGAACGCGGCACAATTGTTTCCTTGGTCACAAGTCATACTGAACATTTTCCACAAATTTACTGGCAATATGCACTACTCCTTAGGCAATAGTCATCCTGTTCATACCTTTCTTATTGATTTATAAGAACTCTCCAAGACTTTGTCTGTCACATCTGCAAGTGTTCTTCCCAGGGTGCAGTTTGGGTGTAGATGTGTCTCAGTAATTTATCCTTTCCCCATTGCTTTGAGATGCCACCTTTATCACACGCTAAATCCTAATGTATGTTTCAATCTCTTATGAGCCAGTACCAAAAGTTTTTTTTTATAACACCACAGCTTATATTGTGGTGTTATAGTACCTTTTGGTATCTGAATCTGTTATCCCTGTTACGTCTTCCTTTTCAACATTTTCTTGGTTATTTTCACTTTTTATTTTTTTTGAGACAGGGTCTCACTCTGTCACCTGGGTAGAGTGCAGTGGCAGGATCACAGCTCACTGCAGCCTCCAACTCCTGGGCTTGAGTGATCCTCCTGCCTCAGCCTCCCAAGTAGCTGAGACTACAGGCATCTGCCACCATGCCCGGCTGATTTTTCCACTTTTCGAAGAGATGGGGTCTCACTCTTGTTCAGGCTGGTCTTGAACTCCTGGGCTCAAGCAACCCTCCCGCCTCCACCTCCCAGAGTGCTGGGATTACAGGCATGAACCACTGAGACGGGCCTGTTCCCACTTCTTTATCCTTCTAAATCAACTTGAGAATTACCTTGAGTCACTTACATGTTTATTTTTTGAATATGCAGCTTGTCTATCAGAAAGCACCAGGTCTCTGTCCCTCAGGAAGGGGTCAAATGTTCAGTCCTTGTTTTCAGTGAGACGATGTTTAGGGCCAGACTTGGGATGAAGCGAGAACTCAGGCTGAGCAAGTGAAGAGTAGTTTGATGAGGCTTCTAGAGCCAGAAGCTAGAAACGTCCTCCTTTCTTTTCTTTTTTTTTGAGACAGAGTCTCACTTTGTTGCCCGGGCTAGAGTGAGTGCCGTGGCGTCAGCCTAGCTCACAGCAACCTCACACTCCTGGGCTCAAGTGATCCTTCTGCCTCAGCCTCCCGAGTAGCTGGGACTACAGGCATGCGCCACCATGCCTGGCTAATTTTTTCTATATATTTTTGGCTGTCCAATTAATTTCTTTCTATTTTTGGTAGAGACGGGGTCTCACTCTTGCTCAGGCTGGTCTCGAACTCCTGAGCTCAAACAATCCGCCCGCCTCGGCCTCCCGGAGAGCTAGGATTACAGGCGTGAGCCACTGCGCCTGGCCAACGTCCTCCTTTCTTTAAAACTGCTAACTGCCCTCTCTCTGAGCTGAGTCACTGGGGTTTCATGCAGAGAAAACAGCTCTTTGGTGACAGTGCTGTCTCACTAGTACCTGTACCCTGTCTGTATTTCACCTGACGCCAGCATTTGATGGTTAGGAGTCAGCTGGAAGATTTCTAAAGTACAGACAACGTAAGAACACCCACTCCCAGCTTCCCCAGGTCAAGACAGACTTTCCATTGGTCTATCCTGGTAGGTGACAGTTAAAATCCAACGTAAGTGACAATGCCAAAAAGCCCTGTCAGGCCATATAACCCCAGAAGCCTAGAGATTCCTGGTAAAGTTGGTCCCAAACCCGGTCACGTGCAGAAATCCTCTAACATTATGGTATTTTAAGGCTTTTCCGCGTCAGGAAATAAGAGGATGTTAACTAACAGAGAAACATTTAAGTCGGCTCCGCACCCGGACACCCTCAAGGCCAAAGGTGTGAGTGTCCCTGCCGTGCAGAGAGGACCCTGCTGTGTGGTGGGTAAACACGCAGCGTGTCTGTGTTGCCCAGACCACATGGCATCCTGGCACCAAAGGAACGGCTCAGGGCTCAGCAGCCAACCGAGACGGGTCCTCCGGGCTTTCTGTCCGGGAGCTTCCCAGGCTGATGGGCTGAGACACACAAGTGACCCCAACACACAAAGAGGCCCCGGCCTGGGCCAGCCCCTCGCCCTCCCTGCTCGGCTTCCCGGAGGCGGCCCGTGGAAGGGGAGACCGCTGGGTTCACGCTGGCCGCCGGGTCAGGGAGCTCCTGCCACCCAGGTCTCTCAGAGGAGGCGTCAGATCGGGCAGAGCTGGGTCAGGAGTGCCCTGCAGGGGCTCCGAGGGTTTGGAGATGCCATGAAGACAAGACGATTTTCTACCGTTGAAAAGAAATTCTCGTTTCCCCCTCTTAAAAAAAGTATTCCAACACCATTAAGGTAATTTTAGTTAACAAAAATGCAGGCCAACCGTTCCACCTAACGGTTGCGTTGAACACACAACGCAATTTCCACGGAACATGACAAGGGCCACACGGTGGGAGGAGCAGGGCCTGGCTGAGACCAGACACACGGAGCCTCCGCTCTTCACTTCACGCCAGACTTGGGAGGAGTAAACACCCTGAGCCAGGGAAGACAGCGGCACTTAAGTGCACGAGGGGACAGCAGGACAGACCCAAGTTCCGTCGGGCACCGGGCAGGGCGTCTGGGGGCACTGGCAGTGGGCGTTAGTGCCTGGGTTAGTCCAAGTCACAAAAATTCAGGAGATGTTTCCAAAGCAGCAGGAAGTATCTGTATTTACAGATCATTCACTTTAGGTGTAAGAGAACCAAGAACTTTCAGCGGTCAGGAACAGGGTAGGGTAGAGACTGAGTCTACAAAGCTTTCTTTAAAGTCGAATCTGACTATAACAAAATATGAATGGAAGCAAGAAACATAAAATTTTAACTATCAGCATTTGCGCT